GAGAGTGAAGGGGAAGAAGGAAGGTATGCGTATGAGGTTTTTGAGGGTAAAGTGGTAAAAAGTTTCTTGTTCTACTTAGTTCCATGGGTAAAGGGTGGACAACCTTGTCCCACCCTTGTTCTAGTTTGTTCTAGTTAGTCCCACATAAAACCACACCAAACATAGGACAATTGTGTTCTGTCCTGTCCTGTCCCACTCTGTCCAACGTACCAGAGGGACCAAAAGTGTAAATGACCTATATTCCTTTAACAAACCAGAGGGACCAAAAGTGTAAATGACCTATATTATCATGTCACAACATCATAAAGTTTTGATTAATAGAAGTGGTATATATTTCGAACCAAACGACCAACAATTTCGACCATATCTTTCAATCTCTTATTATATTCTTACATAACCAAGATACAATTTTAGATTTTCTGATATAGCATGTCGCAAATCTTCTAAAGTGTGACCTAAATTTGGTTTTATGAAATGCAAAATTGTGATTAAAATCAAAATATTATAAAGTATAACAAATCACATTAAAATTCTAAGATATAGATTCATCCGTAAACAGGCCCAAGACATGGCAAATCAAGATACCTACAACAACAGACAACACGTATGACACAATTGCTTAGGAGGTGGAGCTCTAATCTCCTTCAATTGGTGGTCGCGGTTCATGCAATATCCCCTTCACCTCTTCAGATATTTCTCAAATCCGAGAAGTCAAAATTCTCTCTACTCTCCCTTCAATGATTTTCTTACCATTTATTTATACGATCTCTATTTTGAGATGCAATTTTGTGCCAATAATTGCCGATTGCGTACTGTAGTAGTTTATCTTGTAGGAATCTTTTTAACCACCTTAGAAATCTTTTTCTTCAAATACCCAAAGTTTATGCAGAAGTGGATTTTCTGCATAAAATATATTTTCAAGGCAAAAAAAGAAAAAATAAGTTCAAAAAAGAGTTTCATAAAAAAAGGGACTTTATTGTTTGTAATAAGTGGTAAAAATCTATGTTCGTGAAAAGGGTCGTGAAGGCTGTCGATTTTGCCATAACGTCATTATTAGTCCTTTTTTGTAAAAAATTCGAGCCTTTAAGCTTTAAATTAGAGCCCCGTCGTTGTGAAAAATCACGATTCTTAATTTATTAGGTAGAAAAAATTGTTATTAAGGTTTTTATGAAAAAAAAACGAACCAAAACGATGGAAAAATGGTTTTTGGGGCCAAAACGGATCGGATCCTGTCCTGCTTCGTGGGTCTGGGCGTGCCCAGATCCGGCCAGGAGCTGCGCTGGAGGTTCCTGTTGGGCCATGGTAGAGAAACCATTTTTATCATTGATGGGCTAAATCTGATTAAGAATAGTCCATAATTATTTGATTTATTTAATTGAGCAAACGAATTATAACAATAAATCTATACTATATTATAAAGCATTTGATAAAAACTCTTAAAAACCGTTTTTTATGCATAAATTATTGTTTATTGATGCATATTACTTAAAATTTAATATTACAAGTAAATTGTGCATAAGTACAACTTATTAAAGCTCCATATCTGAATTCGTGTAACTAACTTCATATAAACATGATCTAATACAGGATAAACATCTCATTTTAAATATAAAAAATCTAAAATATAATTAGGATAATTATTGAGTTCTAACAGAATATTAATTATTATCTTTATAAAATGTTATATTATTAAACAAAAAATAAATTATTTCGTTAATAAACTTAAATTAAATTATACTTAAAAAAATAAATAAATAAATTACATAAAAAATGAGAACTTTTAAATAATTGATTTGATATTAACATTGATATATATTTTTTTCAAATTTTTATGATATATTTAAATTTATATTTTATTCAAAAATAAAATCATTATTGTTTTATTAAAAACACATAAAATCGTATTATAACATCGACAGAGACAAATAATAAAATAGAACATTAAAATCAAGATGTGTCTCACTGTATTGTGTGAATACTCTTCTAGTTATTATTAATGTATTTGGTCCATTATTTTCAAATTACCGAACTACGTTTTCTTTATAAATTGTTTAAATATTTAACTGTTAATTATTTTCAATGAAGGATACTTGATGGATTGAATAATTTTGATTATTTTTGGACATTAAGGGGCCGTTTATCAAACACTTATCTGGTAAGCGTTGACCGGTAAGATTCAACACTATCATTTACTTACATGATAAGATTTTAGTCCACCAAAACGGTATTGTATACAACAATTTACCCAGTAATTAAGTGTTTACCATGCTAAGAGTCGTCACTCTCACTTACGAGGTAAGACTCTTGGTCATTGTTTCGTTCTTACCGGATACGATTTTTGGTCCTTACCATGTTCATCCGGTAAGGCAATATGGCTTGGTGTTTACTTACCTGAGTAAGTGTTTGGTAAACAGCCTCTAAATCTAATGATTTCAAGACATTTGAATTTGTTTAAATAGCTTTTTGATGAAATAGATTTACGAAAATAATTGTTTTAGTTCTTAAAGATTACCACGACACTCGGAAATTTTCGTTTTGGAATATAGTTGGAATTTTAAGAATTTATTTTGTCGAAAATGTTTATAAAAGGCTCAAGTAAAAAATCGGGTCTAGCGGGGCATTAGGACTACTGATAGACTCTTGAGCAATCGGTCGAGTAAAAGTCAATATAAGACGATAAAGGGGCTTAATTGATCCAAATAAATTTTTTGGGTCGGTAAAGATGCTGGGAAATCGCAATGATGTTTTGACCCGTATATGTTGCGAAGTACCTCTGTACCGTACTGTCGATAGATTTTATCAGGTACATGTATCGTGAGGTATACCACTGTACGTACCGTGTCGATAGATTTTAACGGCTAAGATTGGTTTGTATGGTTTGTAAATGAGAAACTAAAGAACATTTTATCAACTGTTACATTAGATGATCGAATAGATAATATTCATTTATTTATCGTAATCCCGTAAACTTAACCCTATATATTGCTCTCAAGCTGAACCATTCATGTCGACCAGTTGTTTGGAAAAATATGAGAAATGAAAAACCATCTGATGAGGACGGATACACGCAAGTTGAGGAAATATAAAATGATTGGTTTGAAATTCAAACCACAAATTAATCAATCATATATATATATATATATTGGGATCATGTGAGACCAAGTGTTTTTTCGTGAGACTCGTAAGATCAATTCTCAACCCTTGGATTAGATCTACAATATGACAATCTGAATATTTATAAATGCCACGAGACTTCTCAATAATCACAAAATTGTCACCGTGCAATTTTAGATCATTAGTTTATAAAGTTGATCAATGAACATAAATTGATCTTACGGGTCTCACGAAAAACCTTTGGTCTCACGTGAATCCAACTCCATACATATATATATATATATATATATATGTATATGACGGATTAGGTTGGATTTTTGAGAGGCTGAGAGGGTTTATTCGTGACACAGGTGGAGAGAGACCACAAAGAGTTATGAAGCAAAGATATGGAGTCACATGCATGCATGGTTATGGACCACATAGATTTTTCTAGAAGAAAAGCTAGAAACCCTAAGCAGCAGTGGGAATGGAGATATATAGTAGAAGCTACTAGGTTGTAAGCATGCATGCATGCGGCCTTTTCGATTTAAAGCATTTATACGACTTTTGGTTCATGATGTCTGTGACTCAATTTTCACGTGAAATGAAAGTTAGAAAGATGTATGGTGATTGGTAATTAAAGAAGAAAAAGAAGTGGTGGTTAAAAATAGGGTTTAGGGTTTATGTGGTTGGAGGATATCAACATGTGATCGATCTTTTTTCCGCTTTTATTGCATGCATCATGATGGACCCTCTTAACTGTTCATCTTAATGGATTCTATTTTCTTGAATTTCTTTTCCCCAATTAATTAATTAATTGCTTTATAAATATATACATCTAATCCAAAAAAAAGAGTGAATACAAATATAAAAGTGTGTTATTATGCAACCTTTTACATTTGTACAATCAATATAACTCAATCTCAACTGTTCATTTAATTTGATTTCATAAAAGTTTTGATTGTTTTCTAATATAAAGTATTGATCATAATTAATGAACCATAGTTATCTTTCATAAATATTCATATCATAATAAATAAACTCTCATCGTTTTTTCATAAATATCTCAATTGATTAGATTGTAAAAATGTAATGGACTGCATTTGAAACGTTCTCTAAAAATATAATTTTTAAATATTGATAATAATCACCATAGTTTGCTATTTTAAGTTTGTATATTTATGTTTTAATCACCAAACGAATAGTATAAATAGAATGGGGTGTTTTTAATGCGTTTTTAGGATACTTTTAACATCAAATAATTTATTATATTTGAAATGTGTTTTATATAAAAAAAACATGTTCTATAAAAACCGAATATGATAATTTAATTTAAAAGTGTCCTAAAAATCTTTTAGTACGTCCAAAAACGTTGTATCTAACTTAATGTAAATAGATAATTGTTTGACCTTATAAACTCAAGTCCTATTAATTAACCAGAATGATATTCGCGTAATGCAACGAGATATATCTCGATTTCAATGTTTTGTTTATTTGGTCTATGTCGATGTTGCCAATTTACGTAGTTTTGAGCAAGCAATTCATGTTTTTTTAATAAAATATAAATTTGAAAATATCATAAAAATTAATAATATATATAAAAGTTCTCATTTTTTGTGTAACTTCTTTAATTCAACTTTTTTTTATTATAATTTAATGACAAAGTAATTTATTTTTGGTTTAATAATATAATTTTTATAAAGATAATAACTAAGTATTATGTTGAAACTTAATGTTTATTTTAATTATATTTTAGATTTTAGATTTAAAATACGAATTTTATCTTGTGTTTAATTGTATTTATCTACAATTAATTACACGAATTCAAACATGAAACTTAATAAGTTATACTTACGCACAATTTACTTGTAATCTTGAATTTTAAATAATATGCATCAATAACCAGTAATTTATGTATAAAAGATGGTTTTTAGGATTTTTATTAAATGTTTTATAATATAATATAATACATTAATTTAGAAAATAACTGATTTTATTTTAGTGAAAATATAATACTACTACTCTTCTATTCTAACCTATATACACATGCCATAGATCTAAAGAAAAAAGGTGGTGGAACTCGAAATTCTTAGTTTTAAATACCCCCATGCAATGCATATTATATATATATATATATATATATATATATATATATATATAGAGAGAGAGAGAGAGAGAGAGGAGCGATCAAATGAAAACCACTCCAATTTGTAAAAACCGTAAAAACTACTTTCATCCGTCGTTAATCTTATGAAATTTTTTTATGAAATTGTTAATCTTGTGAAATTGTTTCATATAATACTTTTTTTGATGAAGTTGTTTCATATGTGGTTATGAAATTGTTTCATAWACTACTTAATGAAATTTTAATGAAACTGTTTCATGTATTTCTTTAAAATTAAATTAATGAAGATGATAATATCCATGATTAACACCCTCCACAATAAAAATGGTTAATCAACCTCTCATAATTACAAAAAAATGAACAAAATAAAAAATTATAATTGGTTGAATGAGGTTTCACGGTTTTTACAAATTGAGTGGTTTTTATTTAAACCCACCCCTATATAGATATAGATATAGATATATATATATATATATATATATATATAGATAGATATATATATATATATATATATGACTTGAGACCAGCGTGTTTTCTTTAAGATTCATGAGACTATTTTTTTACACTTGAAACGTTGTAAAGATAATTTTCATAGTGTTTTTGTTAGGAATGTTCGGGTTTTTTTTATCTTCATAGCGTTTTGCTGTGAAGTTTCAAGTGTAAAAAAATGATCTTACGGGTTTCACGAAAACAATTCGGTCTCACGGGAACACAATCATATATATATATATATATATATATATATATATATATATATAATATTGAATAAGAGTTAACGTATTAATGATGGTGTTGAGACCAACCAAGAAGTTGACATGAGAAAGCCAACCAAAGCATTCATGAATAATCATGTGCAACATTGATTTAACAACCAAAAGGATTACCCTCCTCCTCCATTATAAATACTTCACACCTTCCTTCCCTTCTACACTAAGCCAACATCATTCATCTCATATTCATCTTCTTCCATAACTTATTCATCTAACATGGCACCCCATGGCGACACCATTGTTACCCAATGTGCTCACCCTAAACATTCCTTCTCCAAGCCACCAAGACTCTCCTCCGATGCCCTCAAACGAACCGTCTCCGACATGTCCTTCGAACTCAGCAAAGACGCCATCGATATCAAGTCCTTAACCACCATCTCTGAGGTCGTAGACGCCAAGTGCGAATGTTGTGGCATGGTCGAAGAATGCACGCCCGAATACATGGAAAACATCCATAACCGGTTCTTGGGAAAATGGATCTGTGGCTTGTGTTCAGAAGCTGTTAAAGAAGAGATGGAAAAGAATGGAGGAAATAAAGAAGCAGCTTTGAGTAGTCACATGAATACATGTGTTCGGTTCAATAAACGTGATCGGGCTTATCCAGTTTTGTGTCAAGCCGAGGCCATGAGAGATTTGTTGAAAAAGACTCGGCTACGAGGTAAATCTTTGAGTCCTAGAGACACCGGATCCGTGAAAAGGGGTGGCATTGCAAGAAGTTCGAGCTGCATTCCAGCCATTACTAAGGAGATCAATGGTGTCAACACTCGCTAATAAGCCGGACTAGCGAGTGTTGTTGACGGATAGGTGTGTGCGAGTAAGAAAGCGGAGCGCCTTCTGAACATGATTACGACATAAGTTTTTAGTCACCAATCCTATCCATTAGGGTTTCATATGCTCTTATTAATATGTCTCAAGCATGTCCAAATATTTATAGGATCTGCTAATTATAGTGTTGGTATCTCATAACTTTAATTCGATTCGCACAAATCACAGGGACCGAGACCAAAATGAAATGTCTCTTAACGGGTTTTTATCTTGGATCGTAAGTCTGTTCGCAACCGACACACATCCAACCAACATATCTTGACCTGGTTCTAGGTTTTTTTTTCGGGATGTTGGTTGTTTTTCAAAGGGTTGCTTGTCGATTATGATCTTCCGAATATTGTTAACTGTAAAACTGTACCGTAAGTGTCAATAATTCTTGTAAAATGTGTTGTAATCTATAAAGCTAAAGAAGGTGAATGAAATTGTTTCTTAACAAAAGTATGTATTGTCTGCTTGCATCCATCTGTTGTACCATTTACAAGATTTAAGCTTACAACCTGAAATAATGGTGGGTTCTTATCACAGCAATAGCAGTCTAACTTTCAAGAGTATAACTGTTTGGTTGGTTTTCCTTTAAGAAAAAATTAGTTTGGATAAAACTCGGCTTTCTGCATATACCTCCCCCCTAAAAGCTTATTGAACAAGTCATCTTCTATATTATTAAGCCAATACCAAAGTATAGCTGACTAACTAAGTTGTGAGTTCCAATAAGCTCATTAAGCTGCTAAAAAACAGGGTCTTGAATGAGCCAAAACCTATAAATCAATTTATTAATACATTTAAACATATATATATATATATAGGCGAAAGATTGGGTAAAAAGAAGTGAACTTCATTAGTGTTGACATTCAATTAGAATTGATCGAAAGGTGAAGATCTTTTCTTACGCTTCTCACCATAACTTTCATTCTCACCGGAACTCGACCTTCTATATATATTTGGCAGAGCAGAAGGGCAGGGAGATGTAACAAAGGAATGCACCATAAATATTTCAAAGAAACAGTAGTAGGTAAATAAGTTTGAATAATCATAAACTTCCAACTTCACAAGGATCAACATTTAACAAACCAAAAACACAAAAGCTGGACTGAATCCAAGAGTGTTGTAAGCAGTACTTGTTGAAGATGCCACAAGCTAAAACCCTATTTAAACAAAGGACCAGTTGATAAACATAAAGCAGATGCAGTGAGCATTTTCTTCTTCATTCAGCACCTTCCATGCCACTGCTCTCTCATACGAAACTGGTCTCCCCATGCTCGATAAACATATCCCCCCTTGAAGACACGCAAAACCCTGATAACAAAACCATAACCAAAATTGCGCTCTTAATTCCGTGATTAATTACGTGATTAATTATAAACTTATTTACTTCGTTTAACGAACCTGTTGCATGATCTGAGGGAACTCAGAGCAAAGACTTTTTCTTCCATGTTCATCGAGGATCTTCTCCAAAGTGATTTCTTGAAGCGCGACTAGGGTGGTCTCGAGCATATCAAGACCAGCCTGGTTTGCAAAAGTGAAAACCGGCAATGCCTGCATTCAAAGGTAGAACGGTGGCAAAATAAGTATTAAAGAGAAGCTTCCCAAAGACTTCGATTTTGAGTTGTTTATACATTACAGCAAAATCGGGTTTATAGAACACGATATATATTTAAATGTCCTTATAAACTGCTTTATAGGACTAAAGGGTCTACTTGTTAGCAGCTTAATAAGCTTAATGGGACTCAGTTTATTCAGTCAGCTATACATAAATGTTTGGTAATGACTTAATGATGTAGAAACTGGCTCATTTAGGGGAGGAGCTTTATGCAGAAGGCACAACTGTTTAATCCTATAAAATTAAATCCTAAAAGCGAGTCTATTTAAACATCTTTGACGTCTTATAAAACCGACCTTGTTGCAGTAACCACTGCAACAAAAATGGCTTTATAGGACGCATGGAATGTCTAAGAGTCTTAATAGAATACTTTATAGAACTTACGTTTATAAGACCAAACAATAAAACATCTTATCTGAAAGCGTTGCAATAAGTTTAAAGGACGCTTTTACGCGTTTTAACAAGTTTTGTAGGACACTTCTGAAATAAAGTGTCATATTATCTATTTTTATACTACACTTTTAAGAAGTGTCCTATAAACTCATATTTGTGTTTATAGGACATTTTTCCAAATAGTGTTGTATAAAATAGCTAATATGACACTATCTTTAAAATGTTCTAATAAACTTGTAGAAACGCCTAAAAACGTTCTATAAACCTATTGTAACACTTTTAGATAGGACGCTTATACATTTTAGGTGTCCTATAAAACCTATTTTGTTGTAGTGTTAACAGTTGCATTGTGGAAACTAATCAAAACCCACCTTGAGTGAGCAGCACAAGATTGCATCTGAATGGTGCCACAAAGACTTAAGGACGGATTCATTTCCATGGCAGCCAGCTTTAAGAAGCTCCACACCCAAATAGCACCTGTGAGAAACAAAGATAACGAAAGAAGACACAATGTTAACACGACCTCACTGTAACAAAATCAGTTTTATAGAACGTCAAATATGTCTAATGGCCTGTTTGTTAGCGGCTTAATGAGCTTAATAGGATTCGCAGCTTATTCGGTCAGCTATACACATGACTGTTTGGTAGTGGCTTAATGATATAGAAAGTGGCTTATTTAGAAAGCTTCTAAGGGGGGAGTTTTATGCAGAAATCCATGTTTTTTCAAACCTATCCCTCCCAATTAAAAAACATGTTCCTTCCACCTATGAAAAAAACAAAAACCTTCCATAATCCTTACAGACAGATTAATCCACAATAACTTTATTCATACAGGACTTTATGGAAAACCAACCAAACCACCCCTAAATGTGCTAATAAATTGCTTTATTGTAACACATTTTATAGTCTGATAATATTACGTCCTATAAAACCGATTTCGTTGTAATGTGCAAGGGTAAAGAGATATCCGAGCCCGCACCTGTAACTGTGGCAGATCCATCGAGCTAGAGTATGTGCTTCAGGAGTGCCCATTGGTGCCTGCAGACCTCCGTTAGGATTCAGGTTAGATGGAGACAGTGCCGATGCAACCCTCTGAACAGATGAGATGATGGTTCTAATGTACTGACGAGCCATGGCCGCTACACTTTCTTGCATGTGGGTCTCGAATGCAAACTCAAATGCTATTGTCATCACCGATCTTGCAGTGTTACTAGCAGTATTAGGATCACCAGATACCTTATTTCCCGAACCTCCAATTTCAAGCGCAGAAGCAAGATCGAGAGTGCGATTTGGACTTGATGTCTCCTGCATATATTTATGTTATAACCAGATCATATAACGAATGTTGGAGCCAAAACTAAATAAATAACTAATAAACACAAAGTCGGCTTTATAGGATGCCAAATATAAACTTTAAGTCCTATAAAGCAGTTTATTATGATATTTAGACATATTTGGCGTCCTATAAACCTAATCTTATTGTAGTATATATGGCATATGGATGCTAACCTTGCCAGAATCGAGGGGAATGATGCGAAAACCCGAAGGCAAAAGAGGTGCATCATCGGCAAAAGAAGAATCGATGGGAGCAAATATAAGTTCGGCACACATGCCAACGGCATTCTCATCCATTCCGCTGCATAGCTATTCAATCGAATCATAATAACGAATTCAGATGACGATGTCATTTAAGGCTAAAAAACGATCAATAGCATGAAGAAACAACACGTACTTGCAGAAGAAACATGTCTCTCGGCATCAACGAGTCTTCAGGACAATGCTCGACACCCTCCAATTTAATAACCTCCAATAACTATAAAATTAAAACAAACTTTATCTTCAGATATAAAATTAATACAATACAACTGTTCAGGATTTGGTAAGACAGAACTGGGCAGGATAGATGAAATGACGAATTTACCCGAATGAGTTGTTTATATCTTTTATATATTTTATTAATTTATTAAATTATAATAAAATAAATATTTTTATAACAAAATATATCATTAGAAAGTTTTCATCAAAATGATTAAAATGACACCAAAACAAAAGGTTTATGTAGTTTCCAATTTTTATTTATACCTTTTCTATATTATTTTTTTATTATTAATATTTAATAAATTACAAAATTAACCAAAAATATGGAAACCATATATATTTTGAGGATAGTATAGTGAAAGTTTAAAGAGCATAAAACACAATGAATAAAATGTATGAGGTGTATTTGATGTTTTAGAAAAGAATTGGGTTTTATTTTGAGGTTATATTGGTAAAATAAGATCTAAAATACCGCTCTGTTCCACCTTGTTCCTATCTATTCCACATAAAAGTCCGGCCAAACATGGAACAATGATCCATGTTCTATTATGTCCTATCCAGTGTACCAAACACACCCTAAAATTAACTACGATTTGATCAAACTTAAATCAGATATGACGGAATTAACTTGCCTCTTCGTGCTCGATTGTGTGAGCAAGTGGAAGAATAACTTGACCACCAAAATTACCGATTCGCGACCCTGGTAGACTACATGGTCCAAGTTTCACCGCTGCAGCTGAGTAAGCATCGATATTGTTATCTGCCCATTCAGACCGGTGCTCCCTTAAGAACCTAAGGAGAAGGGCCGGGGGAACATTCTGCAAAAAGAAAGGGATTTTAACTCTCACATTAAGAAAAAAAGAAATCGGTGGAATCCCGTCAACAAAAGAACTGTCGGTGGCTGACCTGGAGAAGCATCGATGCTTTTGCGCATAATACAGCATTACTAACGGGTGTGTATCCATTCGTGAACGAAAGATTTAATCCCATAAGTTTTTCGGGAGAAGAGTTCACAAGAATAGTAACGTCATCCATCCCATCATTACCCATCAACGACCAACCTTCATCACTAAACCCATTCAGAGCCTCATTGAAACCCCTGCCGATTAAAAATCCGTTATAATCAACGCCTGAGAAAATGACAAAAAGGGCGCTCGTAAAACCTACCTGCTTAACCTCTGACTAAGTGCTCTTAATGCTGCAGGTCTTCGGCCCCAATTAGGGGTACTGGACTGGGAAGCTTCTTGAGCGATCTGTCTCAGTTGGCGTAACGCCTGTTGAAAAAACCGGACTCTAAATACATCTATTCCAGTATTACGGAAATCATTGCAAAAAAATGGATTTCAAATATTACCATCATTGTTGTTTTTTGAGCGAGGACAGTTGATGATTCATACAACGGGCGCAACACTTCAGGTACGCTCCATGCCTACTTAATCATCCATGTTCAATAATTTCGAATATATATACATATCGAGAGAGGGAGGTTCAAAGGAAAACCGCTAAAAAATGAAAATCTAAGGAACACCCTTGTAACCATTCATGTGGATGGTAATTGGGAAGTTGTTTCTTGGTTTTGATGAACGTGTGCATACCAGACATATTGCTTATAAATTACTTGTATGAACATGTGCATACCATCCAGGTGGACGGTTACCTGACCCTATATTATATATATATATAGAGAGAGAGAGAGAGAGAGAGAGAGAGGAAGGTTCAAGAGAAAACTCAAAATATTGAAAAACTAGGAACACCCTAATAACCATTCATTTGGACGGTATGCACATGTGCATATACAAATGTGTATACAAGTAGTTGTATATGCACATGTGCATACCGTCCAGATTGACGTTTACCAGCATGTTCCTCAAGTTTTCAATTTTTTGCAGTTATCCCCGAACCTTGACCCTACATATAAATATATATATATGAAAAGTAAATATTAACATTTCTGAATACAAACTGCATACAATTACCTCTAAGTTCATATGATCGACAATGTGAATGATAGAACCACCTCCTTCACAAGGTCGAATAAGGTAGCCACTAGGCAGCATTTCGGCTCGAACAAAGTTCTGCACCGACGGCATGCTCGGACCATTTTGAGTGTTGGTTAGTGATCTTTCACAAACCTACACATCCCACCATATGACATAAAAAACGAGATCTACAAACAAGTGATTTCCGAAACAGCACCATCATAAAATAGAATGGGAAAATGATTCAAAACGATTGATTACACACCACTAGACTGCCGTCTTCTGTAGCAGAGGTGTAACGCAGCAACCAGAAATCACGAGCAGTAGCTAATGTTGTCGGAGCATAAAGCTAGACCATCGGATAGATTTAGAATCAAAATCGAGTGAGTGAAGAAAAAGTGGCATAACAATGGTGGCAAGAATGAAGCATCACCCACCTGCATGTACAAAAGCTCAATGGTTCCACCATTGGCAGTGGGTAACAAGTTGACGACATCCACAGCTCGGCAATCACGAAACCACGAAGGGCGATCCTTGAGGATTTCAGCAACCTGACACACAAAAGGCTTAGGGGCTGTCTGTGTGTATTAGTCTGTTTGTATAGATTGAGAAGGTTTTTGTTTCAGAGGGGTTTTTCATAGATGGAATGAGGGTTTTTTTTAATTGGGAGGGACAGGTTTGGAAAAAACTTGGCTTTCTGCATAAAGCCTCCCACCCTAGAAGCTTACTGAATAAGCCAATTTCTATATCATTAAGCCACTACCAAGCAGTCATGTACTAAATAAGCTGTGAGTTATTAAGCTACTAACAAGACAGGCCCTTAGACTATGTTTGGCAAACTAGCAGTTGGCTTATAAGCTAGATGATAAACTAATCATACTTCTGTAAAAATTAGATGATTAGCTAGAGGACAATGTAAAATGATGTAAAAAGACATTTGGAAAAATTAAATGGAAAATAAATAAAGGGCATAAAGTCCCCTACGGCTTATTATAACGCTAGCTTTTGCCTAACCAAGCAGGGCTTATTCATTAAGCTCAAAGAATAATCTAGCTTATAAACTTCACAGATCCAAGTTCTAGCATCAACGGAAATGACAAATGAGGGGATGATAAAGCTCACCCTTGTAGGCTCAAGACCGACCAGGCCGCAGGCTCGAGCTGCCACACCAGTGCAACCATGAGAAATAGCAACGATTCCAATGGAATCCGGACCAGGCTACATCAAAGGAAAAGAAGGAAAATTCAAGAAACAGATCGGCCGACCACAAATTGCGAAGAGAGTAGTCAACATTCTATCTCAAGCATCATTAAAGAAATGGGAAATGCAACATGAATGGCCTTTCCTTCTACTTCCATTTGATCAAGATTCACTGAAACTGAACTAATAATCAGATATGAAGATTCACATGTGAATATATATATACCTTCATTCCAGGCATTTGGACCCACTCAACAGCAGTTCCAGTAGCCTTCGAAAGAAACTCTGCTAAAGTTTCTTCTGCGATGGACAAAAGTCTTGAAAACAGAACAATATACAGAAAGTAAGAACCCAAACCAACCCAATTCAATTCTATAAGAAAACCGAATCGAAAAATGAATCAATAGAAACTAACCCAGCAGGACTAGCATCCTGTGGTGGATTCTGAGTCAAATGACTCGTTACCACCGACTCACAACTCGTATCTTTTGTAGCAAGTGCCGTCTGCAGTACCAAGAAACTTAAAACATCAATTTCACCAAACTTAAATGGTACATAAATAAACAATCAGACTTAATAAGAATCCTCACATTCTGCGTATGCTGGCGAAAATAGCCATTTTCATACACCAAATGTGACACTTGTTTCTGCAATCGATCATTCTCTTCCATCAGGAGTTTGTTCATCGCTGTCAGTTTTCGATTCACACCTTGAAGACGTGAAGACTCTCTTCTCTGTTTTTCTCTGCATCTGTACAAAGAAACATGAAACAAACACAACCCATTATTAATCTTTACAAAGGATCAGGACTCAAAAAGCTATGAAATTGGGTTTTAATCAACAGTTCTTCCATCTGTGCATTATAACCAGTTAACAACCCAAATCAAGAAATTTCGTTTTAATAATCTTTACAAAGAATCAAGACTCAAAAAGCTATGAAATTAGGTTTTGGCCAACAGTTCTTCAATCTGCATTATAACCAGTTAACAACCCAAATCAAGAAATTTCATTTTAACAATCTTTACAAAGAATCAAGACTTAAAAAGCTAAGAAATGGGGTTTTAATCAACATTTCTTCAATCTGCATTATGACCACTTAACAACCCAAATCAAGAAAGTTCATTTATACCTTCGGTTCTGGAACCAAACTTTGATCTGTTTTGGCTCGATGTTAGAGAGAATAGGGCATTCACGAATGAGTTGTTGACGACGAATGGAACTGGGTTTTGGGCATTCATGATAAAGCCTCTCGAGAGCTTCAACCTGCTCAGGTGTATAACGAACATACTTGCCATTATCGAGTAGTCCACCCTTATCATCCTTCAATGACATCGCCATCATCATTTGCTCCAAAAAGATTATCTTTTTACCTCTTTCGATTGGCCAAAAAGAAATTAAAACCCACTAAAATCGGCACATTCCCATGTTGTAAACAAGAAAACCCCAAACTTTCAAGTCGATAAACAAAAAGAATGTTCTTGATTTTGAGCCCCTAACGATGATAATTTAATACCCTTTTGACTGTATCCTCTTTAGCTTCAAGAAAGATTCGTCTCTCTTCTTCTTGAGTACACCCTTTTCAGAGCTTCAGATTTTGAGTCCTTTCAAACCCACAAGAATCAGTAGCAATCTGCATCTCCAATCGTCCCTAACCTCTGAAACATCTTGACTTATTGTTTAAATTCTTCTTTTATCAAACAGAAAAGCACACCAACGTCTGAATCCTCCAACCCAACATGATATTGATAGGAAGTAAATGGAAGATCTTGAGAGGAGATTCTCTGAGACACAAAAAGATGGAATTTTTATGATCTTTCTAGGAACCCTAATTCTGAAAAATAAAAAGAAGAGAGAATAGGTAGAGGAGATAAAGAGTATAGGAGATTTTTTTAGTGCTTTAGCACTGTAGATGGATATGATGGACTGGGTGGGAGCTGGTGTTGGCTCATTTGCTGTTTGTTTTTGCTTTATCTGTTTTCACTGTACTTCATCTATCTATACTATCCTACAGCTGAGAGGCTGCCTGCCCAGCCTGCACCATAAATTTGGATTTTTTTGCTTCATCCTTCTTCCCTTTCCTCTCCATTCCCATCATGCCCAAATCCCTTCAACAATTTACAAGATTGCCATTGTCGTATCTCAGGATTCTTGTTTTTTCATTGGTTAAAACCACAAATTCTTGCTTTAATCAACCGTATAAATGGTAATAGTATGTTTGTTAACAGCTTAATGAGATTCGTAACTTATTTGGTCAGCTATGTATAACTGCAGGGACGGACCCGTCTCTGTTCACAACTTATTCGATTAACTATATATGACTGTTTAATATCGGTTTAATGATATAGAATGTAGTTTATTCACTAAACTTTTGAGAGTGAACTTTATAAGGAAAAAACCAAGTTTTTTCAAACTATACAAACAAATTAATCCACACAAGCATCTTTATTCATACAAAACCTATTAAAATGGGTGACTGTAAATAACGAAAAGAACCCATTATATTTCATTAAAAGATAAGTATCAAATAAATGAAATGTATCCAAACCTGACTTCTATCTTATCTTACAGAGAACAGTAATGGATGTATATTATATGGGTGTATAGAGTGGCATGGATGTAAATAAGTGGAAATAGGAAGGGTGAAAGTGAAGGCTAATGGAGGGTTCCTAAATTAGGGAGAAAGGGCGTGAGAGCAGGGAAGTAAAGAGAACACAATGATGATGGTTTTGCATGCGCCTCGGTTTCTACCTTCTTTTTTTTATGTGTGTGTTTTTTTTCCTTTTAATATATTCATTTCACATTTCCAAAAACTTTCTCACTTTTGTCTTTGTCCAGATATACAACTTTTCACTTTCACCCCCTTTACTTCTCTCCTTTCTAAATCACACACAAAACTTTTCAGTTTTTTTTTTTCCGTTCTAAGATCCACATTTCACCAGCAATGCTTCAACCCCACTGATTCGGTCAATTATATATGATTGTTTGATAGTGGCTTATTCAGTAAGCTTCTAAAGGAACTTTATACAGAAAGTCAAAAAAAAAATCTAAACTTGTCTCTTTTAATTAAAAAACAAGGATCTTTGATCTATTCAAAAAAACTATCTCAAACGAAACAGATTAATCGACACGAATAACTTTATTCATACATGACTTAATGAAAAATCAATCAAACAACCTCTTAATCCCATTAAATTACATAACATTACACTCGTTTTTTAAATCTCGTGACCAAAAAGACCTGTTATTAGTATTTTATGACGAGGTTGCAACATAATGAATCTCGCATGTTATATTCTTTATGAATTGACACCGGTCGTTTCCTGAAAGCAAGAAAGAGTGTTTGGTTTATATGAAGCTAATGTTTTACATGAAATTATGAAGATTTTATAAAAATGAAACATATAGATACTAGAAATGGTAGAGAGAAAAAAGAAAAAGATAAATGAAAGTGACATAACATGAGACATTTGACAAATGAGGAGAAGGTATGTATGCATGTATGTATGTATGCATGTATATATGTATGTATGCATGCATGTATGTGTGTGTGTCAAATAATAAAAGACAGAAAGCCATACTTCACTTGTTACTTGTGCCCCATACTTCCTAATTTGGGGGTTTCTCTTTGGACCATCTTCATCATTTGCTCTCATTGCTTCCAATTTCAAATGCCCATTTTTTTAATAAAAATATACTCAATAAATAAAATATTAAATAAAAGAGAAAAAAACACAAAAAAACATAATAAATAAATAATTTAATTATTTTTATAAGAAATAAAATTTTATTCTATTTCATATCCTACAAACCAAACATACCAAATATTTCAAATCTTTCTACAAAATCTAAATCCATCAACGCCGAATGATCGTATGAGAAAAAGAGTTAAGGTGAAAAGCATAAGACTAAATCATAACCATTAATTACTTTTAATCTCAAATACACCCATGAATTGCGCTTTAAAATGAAATTGATTTGGTACATCTTGGTACACTTCATTAGTATTAACATTCAATTATAATTGATCTAAAAATAGAGATCTCTTTTTACGTTTCTCAACTTCTCACAAAAACTCAAACCCATCCATCAAAACCATTCCATTAGACCATACACACCGAAGTACCTTTATTGTGGAATTCAAACATGACAAAAGCATGTACCCATTCCCATTGCACCAATAATATGCATGGATTGCTAATCATGCCCATTTCATAAAAGCCCAATCCAAATACCATAACCCGGCCCAACCAACAATCTTGTTAATTCAAAGTTCACATAAATTATAGAAATTAATAAATGAAATAATAAATCCTACTTATAATTCCCAATCGGAAAAACGCATTATGGACCGTTTGGTTTACAAGATTCCTGTGAAATTCGAACGAATTGGAGTCGCCAAATTCCATTCGGTTGTTTGGTTTTCACACGAAATGGTTTTTATTTTAAAGATTATATCGTTCACGGATTTTATCATTTCATTGTATATGTGATGAAATATTTGTTTAGTAATTTATATTATCTGGCACGCGAGTTTAGTGCATCAAAACCATAGTCCATATCGATGAACCATCCCGATGACACATCATACAAAGATATGAACGTGATAAACGGTGTGAAGTGTTCAAAACGTCACAAATTAAAGGGATATGTATTACTAAGCTTATAAGAAGTTTTGCATTTTCAATGCATGCACGCTTTCATGATTTAAATGCGTTTCGTTTAAGGGTAGAACTACTTACGTATCGATGTAGCTCTAGAAGTGACGGGTTATCAAAGTGTCTGAACAAGCACCCTTATTGGATCACCAACTTCGACTGCATACTCTGATTTAACTCTACGTTATAACTACAAATCATTATGCTTTTTTTTCCCAATTTGTATTTGAGTCGAATTCATAGCAGCCTTTACAGCAATGCAATATTTGTCATGTGCATTCCAACATAAATTCCCCCTCTGCCATAAGAAGCGCACCATATTTTCTACATTGTGTTTTGGTTTCCACGTTTGAAGGAATTGCCAAATGTAAATTTTCCCCAAGGATGCTTTGTTTATGGTCTACAAATACTTCCACGACAAGTTCTGAACCAGAGACCATCTCTTAATTGGAGGTTTGAAACACAAAAAAAACGAGAACAGAGAAATTGAAACACAGATTAATACCGAAATCATGAATAGTCTCGAGAGTTGAGAGAATGAAGGCAATTATGGGTGGGGAAAACTTTTAAACAATACGAACCTATATATACATTTTAATAAATGGTAAAATGGTAAATACGTGAATAACAAATTTATAAATAAAAAAACAATGTGGCAAAGAGAGGTTGTAAATACATGAATGACCAAAAATACGATAAATCCATTTGTCCATTTGGAAGACGAGATGTGGCAAAGATAATATTTCAAACAAACAATCTTATCAATCTCTTGACTAGTTTGAACATAACAGGTTTAATAATTAATACCATATATCCTTACCCAAAGGGATTGACAGAGTCCCAACTTGTCCCTAAAAGGTGTCACAAGTTACGATTTTTAACTGGTTCAACCCTATTTTTCAACCTCTCAGCACTGCCACCTCTAATGCAGATCAGTGTCATAGCAAAGACACCACATCTTATTAAAAATTCATGTGTTTATCACTCCATAAACTAACAAGTAATTAAATGATTGTTGTTAAATCAACCATGGAATTTCAAATACTTGGATTTGATTTTGGGATGGATCTAAAAGTGTAAAAGACATAAAACATATTTTGACAAAAGTTGACTACCAGCAACCCTAACTGGTCTGATACATAACCTGCCTCCAAAAACATCAACATGAGGGGTATTTTCTAGCTCACTCAATGGCTAAGACTAGCCTTTACGGTAATACTGAACGGAAGACCTATCTTGTATATGCGTAAAATTACCCCACCCCTTTAACAATTGAATTATGCAATTCAAATTTCAAAAACATGTTAATTGGGCTGAATGCTAGAAGCCCGTGGAAAAATACTTATTGGGCTGACGCTGAATAATAGAAAGTAGAAACCCATGCCCAAATGCGAAAACCTTGTGGTATTTTATAATTAAATTAAATAAATAAAAAAGAAATGAAATGAAAAGTTGGATGTATATATAATAAAATAAAAAATAGATTATATAAAACAATCTCACATGACGGCTGACAACCACCCCTCACCCCTCTCACGTGGTTAGTCGGATACCATTATCATTTACTTCCATTTTTTATGTTTTACGTTAATTGATATAATTATTAAATTATTTATTATTTAATTTTAAAATTCTATTTGTTAATAGCTTAATAAAACTCATATTTGATTTGATCAGTTATATATGATTATTTATTAATGACTTAATGATATAAAAAATAATTTATTTAATATGCTTTTAAGATATATAATTAATCAAACATGAAACCTCGTTACTTGATTTGATGGTTTTAGTTTTGCAAATGAAAAAATAAAAGGAAAAGAGAAAAAGGAAAAAGAAAAAGAAAAAGGAAAAAAGAAAAAAGAAAAAGAAAGAAAAATATAGGAACGGAGAAACAAACAACTTTAGAGAACTAGCAAGTGACTTGAAGAGCCATTAGATTCTTGACTAAATTACGGTTTTAGACCTTGTGGTTTGTTAGAATTTACGGATTTCATCCTTTTGGTTTTGGAATAACGGTTTTTGTCATTTTCGTCTCTAAACCCAATATTTATCTTTAAATATGAGAGATACAAAACAAATGAAAATGAATTTTAAATTATAAAAATGAAAATAATAATAAATTATAAAACATAAGAATAAAAGTTGTAATTTTAAAACTATAAAAATAAAAATAGCAATTTCAACGAAGTATAGGGACTAGAAACGTAATTTAATAAATTTTTATTTTTACTTTTTTTAACAATTAGCCCCCTGCTTCAAATACCTCCCACCACCAATACACTCCTTTCACCTTTTCTCCAATCATCCATCAATGGCAGCTTACTTCCAACACCAGAAGACGCCTACCGACTTCACCACCGCCCTCAATCACTTCACAATCGATGATTTGCTCGTCGATTTCCCTAACGACGACGGCGAAGTCGTCATGAACGATGCTTTTTTTCAAAATTTTACTTCGAATTCCGCTGATAATTCCTCTTTTTCCGGTAGCGAACCTCATTTATCCAGCAATATCACCTCCTTTTCCGGCGCTGAACTTTGTGTTCCGGTAGGTACTACTTGATAATATATATATATATATATATATATATATAGTGATGATGATCGATTTATGTGTTGAATTATGCAGTATGATGATTTGGCGGAGCTGGAATGGCTGTCGAGTTTCACAGAGGAATCATTCTCCAGCGACGATTTGCATAATCTCAAACTGATCTCCGCCGCGAACAAAGTTCCGACCACCGACACCTCATCTTCCGACACCACTCCGAGAATCATAGGTTCTAACAGAGTTAACTCACCGATATTTCAAACTGACGTTTTAGTCCCTGGGAAAGTTCGTAGCAAACGATCACGCGCCGCTCCATGCGATTGGTCCTCTCGTCTCATTCTTCTCAAATCATCTTCTTCAACCGAAATTAACCTACAGCCTAAAACGATGCCGTCGAAGACGGCGACAGCGGACGGTTCAGAGAATTCGGTCCGGAGATGCCTGCATTGCGGTTCGGATAAGACACCGCAGTGGCGGAGAGGTCCGATGGGTCCCAAAACGTTATGCAACGCATGTGGAGTTCGTTACAAGTCGGGTCGCTTAGTACCCGAATATCGACCCGCTGCCAGCCCATCATTTGTACCCGCAAAACACTCCAACTCTCATCGGAAAGTCATGGAGCTCCGACGACAAATGGAGCTCCGAAATTCACACCAACCGTTTCTCAATCATAACTCCAACTCCGACGGATGCAACACCACCGACGATTATTTGATTCATAGTCAAATGGGGCCAAGCTTCATGCACATGATCTAGCCACCGCCACCGCCACCTCCACCTCCACCGCCACACCAACCAATTTTACTTTCTTACCATTAAAACAGTAGTCTTCTTTCCAACAAGAATCAATCAATTCATTGTAGAATTTTGTCACCTTTGTAATCAAAATTACTAATCGTTCATTTTATCATCAAAACAATTTATTCAAGTTTTCTGATAATTCCATGGATTTCTTAACGGGGATATATATATATATATATATATATATAATCAAAAGTGGGTGGGGCTAAAACAGTAAATTGCAAATGGTGCAGCAGTAACGTAAGCGGCATGGTCCATTGTTGTGCACTCAATGGCACATGCAACCGCTCAAACTTTTATATTAAAGTCTTATCTGTTATCATTTCATTTTCCAAGATTTTGGCTCCATTTTTAGTTCAAATTACATTTCTACCCTTTCATTTATGTTGCCATTATCATCCAACCGTACATGTAGACTAGAAATTCTACGATGGATATAAATTGGGGTAGCCTCAGCCTCAATGCCTTCTTCTTATGTGTTATTATTATTATTTTTTTAATCAGGAACGAATATTAATATTTATTTTTTATATTTTTAATATATAAATTAATCTGATAAAAAAATTGAAATGATGGAATAAATACAATCTTATTTATAAATTTCCTTTTTAAAAAGATGTGTAAACAATATTAAGTAATTTAAATATTAAATTAAAATTTTCAAATAAAAATAGAAGTCTTTTAATTGAAATAGACAAGTTTTTATTAATACAGATTCATACGTTAAATAAATGTCGGTTAAGGCTTAATGTTCAATTAAAGTATTCAACTAGATTTTAATTTCAGTTAATAAATCGAAGACTTTGACTTTAAGCAAATGTGTAACAATGAATATCATGTGTTTGTTTAACTTGAAATTCTATTTTTTTTTTTTTTTGGTTTGATTGGTCTGAACCTGAGCTCCAAAAGTCAAAAAGTATCCGGAGGTTACATGTTCAAATACAAAGAATAATAAAAATCATCTTATAGTCATGGGGGTTCAAATGCAATGACTCCGAACTATCCGCAAAATAAGTCATCTTGGAATTAAGCGGTTCACATAACGAGTTAGATATTCAGATTAATAAGAGTTATGATGGTTGGGACCAATCTTTTAGGTCCAATGAAATGAAAATGAAATTTCAACCCTAATAATAACTATTTCAAAAAATGTCTTTTCCTTTTGATTACAATATGATATGATGTTCAAAATTTTCATTAATACTCCCCAACCATCACCACATAGTGTTATATTTTATTGAAATAGTTGGGGAATTCCTTTTCAAAACCATTAAATTGTAATAAATCTGAGAACTTATGAATCATGTGTTATTTCATAATACGTTTGTTTTACATGTACTCGGTTCATAAAGTGAATATTTTTGACATATTTGTAAAACATAAAAAGTTTCACATTGTGAATAGAATACATATGAAACAAATATATTGTAAAACAAATATATGTTAATCAATGTATTAAATACTAAACTTGGACATGAAAAGATCATGTGAAACAAAACCTTAAGATAAAAATTCTCACGCATCTCACAAGTTTTGGAGTTTTTCAGATGATTAAGCCCATATATAAACATCCAAAATGATAACTTCTTTAAACCCTCACATAGTCGCATCCTCACTAATCATCAACATAAACAACCCGTCTACAATCAATATACTCTTAAAACCCACTACTTCTATTACATTACGTAAACACAAACGACCTCGACAACAAGATATGACCAGACATACGAAAGTGAGACTAGACAGTTACAAAATCATAAAGGGCTCTAGAGCTGTATTTTGACATGGGTAATTCAGTACCCCACAAAATTTTGTCTTATTTTCCAGATATGTTGTCTTCCATTCAGTTTTCTCATATCCAAGTCTAATATCATACTGAACGTAAAACAACAAGCTTTTTATCCTATCATATCCTGCATACGAATATCAGTATAATTATTGGTAGGGTAGAAATGAGAAAACATGAGTACTTTGAAAGTACAAATGGATGTAGAATATAATAGCATATGACAAAGGTTAAGTAATGGGGAGTGAGAGTGGACATACGTGCATGTGGAGAAGCACATGGTACAATAATCGAGGTACGTGGATACACAAATAAAATAAGCTAAACATATTATCATATGAGATCCATTCAGCCATTTTGTCTCCCCATGTTACATCATTATTACAATACATTTTTATAACTGTAGTTTGTCAAAAATTACGATCTATGTTACTGATTTAAAAAGAATGAATTGTATGAAAAAATAATGTACTTTAATTTAATTTTTATTTTAAGTAATGTACTTTCAAAACTTTTATTTTGGTACCTAAGATGCAAAGTTTTAAACATGATCAAGTCAGTTGGTCATGGGCTAAGATACTGTGAATAACGTGTATGAAATAGTTTACGGTTTAAAATATGTTTTAATTTTTTTTATACGTAGATTATTATTACTAGCGTAATCAAATGAAATGATAATTATTTTAGAAGATGAATTATAAAATGCAAGACGTTTTTTAATCATTGAAAATTGGCGTGCACCAGAATGTGGCGCATCAAACGGTTCAAATGTGATAACACGTTTGAATAATTGTCACGATTGCGGTTTAATTCAATGTGTTGTTATGCATATATAAGAAGCCCGCAATCCGTGTGGTGCGCTTTATACATCACACGCTAAATAAATGTTGTTAGACAAAAGAGAAAACATTTGTTGCGTTTTATTTCGACATATTTTTCACATTTTAATTTGCATCACGACTAAGAGTTTGACGACCTACCGACTTGTATCGTGGTTGTAGTGTTTTTTGGATCAACTTCGTAATGTGAGAGTTGTCGAAATGTCTGAACGGCAACCTGACTTGAATGACACATTGTGTTGTCATTTGTTGGTTCAACTCATCATCAAACGTTCATATTTGACATTGATTGCCAATTATCGGTTGGCTTGAATCGCCCCCAACCTCAATCTTGGGCATGTTTTCTCCGTGTGCTACTTTAAAGTTGAATTTTCTTTCGTCGTAAGAAGAGTTTGACACATTTTGCATTGCACATTTATTTTCCCATTTGTGAAGATCACCATGTTGTATACATTCCAAATCTCAGACTTTCGTTCGTGCACAAAGAGAATTGGGCAACTTGTTCGTTTGATGCACCATGTTGTTACCAACCATTTTGGAAGACAAAGAGAGAAATAAATGAGTAGTGAGAAGTGGAAGCGAATACGAGCCAAAATCATAAAATATCAAGAATTTTTTTTTGTGTTTTCTAAGTTGATACCTTACCCCGTACACCATAACACTTATACATATAGTGTTTAGGAGTCCAAAATGACAAAAAGGTCAAATTTCGAGAAAAACGGTCATATAACCATTGATTAACAATCAAAATGGGTCAAAATTTGAATTTCCAGGCCAGACCGATCCCTCGAAACGTCCAAAATTACCAATCAGTCCTGAACAGTAGCCGCATAATCGATCTTGGGCCGGGCCGGTTTGGCCATTTAAAATCCCATTAGATTATCTATCCAAGGCTATTTTGGTAATTTGACTTTTTATCAACAAAAACTATTCTATTTTTCGAAATTTGTTATCGTTTAAAGAAATAGGGATTTGGTAAAAGACATTTGACTTTCGAAAATATATAAAAACGGATCAATTTATTGCTTTTAAGTCAACTCCGTAATCTTTTTATTTATTCAAAGCTTTGACTTTTAATTTAATTGGACTTCAATTTTGAAATTATAGAAGCAATTCAGCTGTAAAATTAATTTTTATGATAAGAGGGTGTTTGGTTATTGGTACGTGAATTGCTTAAACAATCCCAATCCGTCCCTTTCGCGAACGGCTTTTCGTAGAATTCTATATGTATCTATGAGATTAAGTAGTAATCAATAAGAATGAAAATAATAAATAAATAAAAAAAAACTGTTTGATTTACTATAATATAATATGCTTATTTCCACTAAAGCCCAGAATTTCGTTCTGCTCATTTCCATTTACTGTCATTTTCATTTCTCAGTATGAGCCAAACAGACCTTAAATCAGGGAACAAACAAGAATGTATCACGTATATCAGACATATACATTGTATTCATCATTAACATTGTAAAAAATCATGTTTATTATTCAAGATGAATGGAAAATAACACATATGGTGTTCTTGGTGCTTCGCAACACAAATCAATTTTGCAACTGAATTTTTTTCGTAATTAGTATTATATAAAGCATAATAAATTATCTAACATATTTAATGAACAACCAGAAAAAGTAAAAGAAAATGATCTCCGACTCTAAAAACAGTTCTAAATAGCTTGAGGCATGGCATGACGGCAGGGTCGATTCAAAGTGTAATTATGACGACAAATCTCCAATATCATATATAATATGATACTCAATGAGTCGATAATAATAAACAATTTAAATCAGGTCATATTAAAAACAAGCAAATAAGACATTAAAAATACAAAGAAAAATCAAATATCATGTTTAAAACCAAGCATTAAGTCATGGTATGCTGCACGTTTATATCAAACTTGTAACATACCATGACTTAATTTTAAAAGAATACTCATGAATTTAAAGAAAAAAAGGTTATTTGGAAGTTGAAAAGTGAAATGGACAAGTAGAGTAATGGGGTGGGGTTCACGTGGTCAAAAGAGGAAGAAGCGTCGGTCAATATATATATACACATATATAATTCCCTTTTTACCCCCAAAACATTTGCATGTGCACATGAGAACATAAACATCTCCATTCCTCCCTTTCTATTTCTCACATCACTTTCCTTTTTAACCCATCACATCAGCTTGCACACCCTCAACTTCTGTTCATGGAATTCAAAGGAATTTTGACGAAATTGGAATGACAAATTTTTTTTGACCAAATTCCAATTCCTCCGATAACAAATTCATCATTTAAGATCTAATACCAAATATACACAAAATCTAACATCACAACAATATGAATACCTCCAATCCTAAATCAAAAACCCGTGAATTTCTCACTGTAATATTTCAAAATTTACCATCCACAGCCGATATAAACCAATAACACAATTCAGTACAGAAAACGAAATTCCAGCAATAGAATTTTAATTACCAACCGCTTCTTGAAAACATACGGTAAACTTCAATTGTTTGAAATGATAAAGTGATGAACTACATACCGAACATTAAATCCACGATTTTGGAGACGACTGATTTTGCAGGCGAGGCCATGGTTCCAGTGGATTGCGACGTATTAGCGGTACCGTTTTGATGATAATTTGGTCGAGCAGATGCTCTGAACGCAATTGATTCAGATTTAGGTGGTGGTAGAGGCATGAATCCTTGAGTGTGCAGTCTATCACTAAGATTCTGTCGTTGCATTGGATCAACTGGTTTCACTCCGATGATTAGAGCTCCATTTAGTTGCATTCCGTTCTTACTGAGAGCCTTCTGAGCATCATATCGACTCTGTTGTACAACATTAAGAAAACAATCAAACCAATTTCATCTCAGAAACCACAGTGATATCAGGATAAAAGTTGTGCAATATGGTGCAAAATGCACATGATTCATCCGCAACAATCAATAAAAAAGGGATACTTTTGACCTCTTTTAGCCATTATAATTCATATTAGTTTCTGGCAATGATATGAAAGCTTATTGGTCGAGCAAGCAACAAACGAAGTGAGATGCATAAGACATTGCAAGTCATTTCTTCAACTATCCATCACTTTCCGGACTAAGGGCATGTTTGTTAGCAGCTTAATGAGCTTAATAGTACTCACAATTTATTGGGAAAGCTATACATGATTGTTTGGTAGTGGCCTAATGATACAGACAACTTTATCCATAAAGGACAGGATGGAAAACCAACCATACTAATCAATATCATTAGCATCCCCAAGTTATCTCATGTGCTGTTCATAGTAAAGAGGAAACAGGAAACCAATGGCAGAGAATAAGATTTACAAACAGTCAAACACCGAAAAAAAAGAAACCAAATGGCTATCTGCAGGAATGCACATGTGGGAATACTAGCGGCTGACAAAAAAAAGGCGTGCCATATGTGTGCATTGTATCTCGGCAAAATGAAAGAGAGAAATTTTCTCATAATGCATCCTCTATCCGTCCCCGAATAAATGCATAAATTTCCTTTTTGGAATGTCCCAAAATAAGGCAACACTTTTTCCTTCTCATAAAATTTTCATTCTAAAATTACCTCATTGTTCAATATAGGGACTTAAAAAGGGGTAGAAGCACCCCTGTTTCATAGCCAAATAGAGAAGATCAGATGCATATAAATAAATAAATATACTAGGTTCAGGGGAAAACCACAAAAAATGAAAAACTGGGGAACCACCTTGGCAACCGTTTGTATGGACGTAATGCACATGTGCCTACAAGAAATTTGTAAGCAGTTTGTCCGTTATGCACGTGCATAAAAATCAAGAAACAACTTCAATTACTTGTATGCGCATGTGCATACCGTCCAGATAAACGGTTAGCAAGGTGTCCCTTAGTTTTTCATTTTTTTTGGGGGGGGTCCCCTGAACCTCCCTCTCTTTCTCTCTAAATATAATATATATATATATATATATATATACATATATATATATTGGAACCAGAGACAAGAATGTCATGCAACAAGCTGAAGCTTGATCCTAAAGGAGGCAGACATAACCTGATAAAGAATGTGCATCCAATTAGAATCTCTTGGACCTGGGACATGCTTGAGAATTACTCCGCATTTTTCAAACTCCCGCAAAACTAAATTTGTGTCTGCTGGGGAAAACCTGTAAATGCATAGAAAGTAACTTATTGTATGTCTAAAACAAAGCGGGGAGACAAAGAGTGCTTGATGTTAATTATTTGCGTCTAGGATGATCACTTTCTTTCAACAGTACTCTGAGCTGTACATCTATAAACCACAGTTGCCATCAACAAATAAATCATATTCCACAGAACTTTTATCTAAAAAGCCCAAGAATCCTTCAAATTATTATTATTTCATCGTTAAGATTGCTGCATGAGGACAGACTTCACCATATGAAAATAGTCCTTTATATAAAACCACACTAGAATACAACCACCTACCTATATACCTCCCTAATATCATATACGACTTTGGTAGACCGTTACATCCCTTGCTGAAATACTAGTATATCACTATTGCTCAAGAAACATCCAAGAAATCGGGGAATAGAACACCACTTCTTGAAAGACTAAGGGGCTATTTAGTTGGTTTTCCATTAGGTCCTCTATGGATAAAGCTGTCTATATAGATTGGAAAGATTTTTGTTTAGGAGGATTTTTTCATAGATGGAAGAAGCGTGTTTTTTAATTCAGAGGGGGGGGGGGAACTTGGCTTTTCTGCATAAAGCCCCTCTAGAAGCTTATTGCATAAGTCACTTTCTATACCATCAAGCGACTACCAAACAGTCATGTATAGCTCACCGAATAAGTTGTGAATTCCATTAAGCTCACCAAGCTGCTAACTACCAGGCTCTAAGAGAAATGCCTGATGCAGGCACAAGACTGCAGTGGAAGAGAAAGACTAGATGATAGTTAGAGCTTTCTAGTCAAGGGAGATCAGTTTTGAAGTGGATTAACTCATGATGGTGACCAAGTTTGTAACACAAGACCAGAGGGGTGAAGAGAAGATACAAAAGGCAACACGGATCCAAAAGTAACAAAAGGGCCAGATAATTGCTTTTCATTTTCTAAATTGAGACTTTCTTCGGGCAAGAGAGAATCATGAGTATTTCCAACTAGTTAAGGGATAAAAGATTTGTTGGTCTCATGAGTGAAGAGTCTTAATGACCACTGTCCATTTATCAAAAGATATATAAAAGCTTGATCGTGTGTTGACTGCAAAATGGCAGATTTTCAATGCAGCGGAGGCCATTCCCAAAGCAAACTCATTCATACTAGAGGACTTGCATTATTAAACGACCAGTGTCCAATGATCACCGCATAACAAAAGACATAAAAGATATAATTCATGTATTGAAACAAGGTAATCAACTACTGTCTAGAATCTAGATAACACAAATGGATGTCATTCATTTTCAAGTTCTACAATAGTAGATTGGCACATCAAATTGTTACTGAGCCTAAGGGATTGTATTGCCCAAAATAGAGTTTATGATATATATATATGAAAGAACTTAACTTGACCATCAGTAAGGGCCTGTCCGTTAGCAGCTTAATGAGTTAACAGGGATCACAGCTTATTCGGTCAGCTATACATGACTGTTTGTTAACCATATAGAAAGTGGCTTATAAGTAACTAGGAGGGAGCTTTATACAGAAAGCAGATTTTTTCCAAACCTCCCCATCCAATTACAGAACACCCTCCTTCTGTCTACGAAAAACTCTTCCAAACAAAAACTTTCACGCTCCACACAGACCGCTTTATGTCCATGAAAAGGACTTAATGGAAAACCAGCCAAACGGCTCCTAAACCTTATGTAAAAAACAATAATCATACTATGGCAGGATCAATACTCAACAGAAATAAGTTCTAAAAAATTACCCATAAATAGTGACCCATTCTTCCTCATCAATCGTACCAACAGGCAAAGAATTCCTCTGAATCTCCGGTCTTGCAACCTCCCTAGGTGGAGGTAAGGTAATCAAAGCCACTGGCTGACGATGAACAATACCATCCACCGGAGAACCCGAACCCGAGCCCTTTCCTTTATCATCACCCCCACCCTCACTCCGCGGCCCTGCAGACCACCAACTCGAACTTCCCGCGGGACTCTGTACACCCTGCGATTGCTGATTTCCAAACAACGCATAAGAGGATGTGCTAGGGTTTGAATTAGGTTGCGATGACTTATTCGGAGTAGTCGAAAATAACTTGGACGGAGTTTGCGCGGGAGTTCTAGGGTTCGAATGAGGTTCAGGAGAACCAATAGGGTAATCCTGAATCCCGGATTCGGGTGACAAATCGGACCGGTCTTCCAACGTGAACATAGGTGGCGGTGGCAGATCTGAAGTTGCGAAATTTTCACGCCAAAGGGCGGAAACAGCGGCGGCTTGGCCGGGGGTTGTGAACTTACCGGATCCACTTCGGCGGTTAGTTACAGGGGTGGCTAAATCATTGAAGAATAAAGATTGCCTACCAGTTGATTTGGGTGTTCTGTGAATACTTGAGCTCATTTTCTCCCCTTTCCAATCTTCGTGAATGAAGAATATGAAACGGATAAACAGTCGCCGGTGTAGCTTCAGGCCTCCGGCTGTCAGGTGTTGAAAAACCCTAGACGGTGGATTGGGGAGAATTTGAAAAGAAGGGTTTTGCTCAACTCTTTGAATGTTGAGGTTCAAATGAGGAGTGATTCGATTATTATATTCATAGAACCAAAAACCCCCCCCCACTTTCGTGCCGTTGGCTACCTTCTATTTTGGGAAAACCAGACTTTTTTTTATTTATTTATACCAAATTCATATTTTAGTCCAGTTTTAATAAAATGCAAAAGTAACTTTAAATTGATTTTTATTTTGGATAATGTATTTTTAAAACTTCTACTTTTTTATCTAAATTATAAAGTTTTAAATATTTAAATACTTGGATAACCGGTTGAAAACTAATTTTAGATTAAAAAAATTCATGTCATTAACCACGTAAGCAAATAACGCTGAGTTGGATATCACATCACTCGCCACATTAACATGATAACCGGTTAATACTTTAATCAGTTACTTGGGTACTTAAATGCTTAAAACTTTACATCTTAGGTACCAAAATTGAAGTTTTAAAAATATGTTACTCAAAATATGAATCAAGTTAAAGTATATTAATTTTTCATGCTATTTGTTCTTTTAATAAGTACGTAAAGTCTATTTTAATTCTTTATGCAAATGGGTTTCTTACACAAAAATTTGAATCCTTATGTAAATTTACGTAATTTTTAATTTGGAAATCAAGTTTACATAAATGCATAAGAGCATCTCCAATAGAAAAATGACGAAAGTAGGAGAAAGAGTGTAAAACTCTTCAGATTTGGAAAACATCTAAAAAACGATTATAACGAGAGAGAAGTATTATTTAATATATTTCCACCAATATGAAACTTTAAAAATAAATATTTAGAGAAAAAAAATATTATTTTATTAAATAAAAATAATATTTTAATAATATAATCAATGTTGCAATCTTCAAAATGGAGAATCATTGGAATTGAATATATTTTTCTTTTAGAGATTTTGAAGTTCCATTCTCCATTTTCGAGAAATTTGAAGAATCTGTTGAAGATGTTCTAAAATCTGACTAAAATAAGAATTCAATTGAAAAAATGGCTAAAAAGTGAATTTAGTCGGGACAAATGGTTATTTTGATCAATTTCCTTTTCTTTTTTAACTGTAAACTATTAATTAAAGACTTTGAATATTTAACAGCTATTTTACTTCAACAGATACGCTATAACATATTTATTTAATGATCAAAATCATAGGTATAGATATTAGTTATAAGATTTATATGTATTTGTGGGTACAAGTTAAGGATAATCTCATAATAAATTGTTACATTTCTAAAATGTTTTTAATTAACGATGCAAACGTAGATTTCATCTATCGATTGTCGGTTTATTTCGACATGTTAGCTACCAACATCAAGTGAATGAAAATGTAATGTAAGAGTTATAACAAAACGTTTATAACTCGAAAGCATGATTAAAAAGGAGCCGAAAGAGGCTCCTTCAAATTATGTTGATCGGGAGTAGAAGCAGGACCGACGACAGAACACTGACAAATTGCTTCACCAACCGTAACCGTGCCCTGAAGTTTGTGAATCGAGTCTTTTCTCTCGATAGCGATTGTCATCTCTTTGACCCCCATAATTGGCTTCATTCCCTACAACATTTGAATCCTGAAAATCAACATCTTCCGTCTCTTAATCCAACAAATATCAACATCATCCGTTTTACTTACCTCGCTCAGGATACGATTGGCTTCCGATGGTTCGTTGTCTTTTAGAACGCCAACAGCTACTTCCTGCTTACGACAATTAACAAACAGGTTAAAGTCACGTTGCAAGTAACATTTTATCGATATTGGGTTCGAAGAGGGTGAACATAGGTAGTACCCGGACATGGTTGAGTTCAACTTGGTTCAAGGTCTTGGGCTCGGTCTCAATAGGGCAACAAAAGGTAGCCATGGGGTAGCCAGGTGAAGAAGGGTGTGGTGCCATTATATATATATATATATATATATATACTCTCTCTCTATATATATATGTGTGTGTGTGTGAATGTATAGGTTGGTTCCAGGTTGGCAAAATCAAATGCAGCATCCATATTCACGGACCAGTTTGAAGATCTAAATTAGGGTAAAATAGGACCAAAAGGCAACTCGTCTCATTCAAACCCCGTGCCATGCTACATTATATTAAAACAAAAGTTATTTTTAATGTCGTGGATATGTTTATTGACAATACTTTTTTTTAAAATATTGCCAATATTTTAAACCAAATATATATGGTTGGGTTTACGTAAGACAAAGTTGTTTTCGTAAGACAAGTTTTTATACTTGAAACTTCACAGCAAAACGTTGTGAAAGTAAAAAAAGATTGAACTTTCATAGCAAAAACACTGTGAAGGTTACCTTTACAGTGTTTTGTTGTGAAGTTTCAAGTGTAAAAAACCTGTCTCACAAAAACAGTCTTGTATTACATGATCTCAAGTCTCTCTCTATATATGTGTGTGTGTGTGAGAGAGAGAGAGAGAGAGAGAGAGAGAAATAGTTAAGGTGAAAGCATATAAAAATATTTGAATATTTGATAACTTTTAATCTCATTTCTATCCATGAATTGCATTTTAGAAAGTAATTGATACGAGGCATTTCATAAGTATTGACATTCAATTAGAATGATCCAAGAGTGAAGATCTCTTCTTACGCTCTGGAATCTAACCCTATATACACACACACACACACACACACATAGGAGCGGATTCAAACGAGAAGACGGTCAATTTGCAAGAAGGCGAGAAAAAAGAACATGAACGAAGGCATGCTGATGCTCGTTCATTTAACTTAACTGAACAAAAAAATATGCTCATTTTACAAAGCGTACAAAGATTGAATAAAGGTAGATTGAGAGATCATCAACATATCATCAATGACCCAACATATATATATATATATATATATATATATATATAGAGAGAGAGAGAGAGAGAGAGACTTAATAAATTGAGGACTACAAAATTTGCAAGATCCTTGAGAAAATCTATCTTAAGGTTTTGTTTTATATGATTTATTTCCATCCAAGTATGTTTTTTAATGCATCGACTAGCATATATTTGTTTCACAATATGTTCATTTCAATGTATACAGTTCACACTGTAAAACTTTTTACACATATTTTGTTTCACAAACATGTCAAAAAGATTCACATTGTAAACTGAATACATGTGAAACAAACACATTGTGAAACAAACACATTGTGAAACAAATGTAAGATAATCACTACATTAACTTCTAAGCGTAAATGAAAAAAATTCATATGAAATAACACATGATCCAAACAATAATAAGATATCTCACGATTTAGAGAGTTCTAAAAAAATGTCCCATATATATATATATATATATATATGTATGTATGTGTGTGTGTGTGTGTGTGCACGTGTGTATTAGTTGTGTACTCATGCAATACAATTAAACAAAACATAAATTTTGTTATCATAAACGTATAATGGAAAATTAATGTAGTTTTTCTGTAAGAAATCTGAAATTATGTTAGAACAAAATAGAAACAACAATTATTCGTAATCGTATATATCTGCTTATAAATGGTTGAATATGTTATATTGTTTTAATTTTACTTTTAAAGATATATATATTTTGTAAATATGTGTCTCCAAAAAGAAAATATTTTTTGTAATTTTTTTGAACTCTATTTTTATAGAACACTATAGAAAATCTATTGAAAATGAAATAGAGAACATAAATCTCAAATTTTTTTTTATTTTTTTACTTACATTTCAACGCGCCTCTCTCCGAGACAGTACCCAGATCGTTACATTTTTCGTGCAGGTCGAAACTTACCCGACAAAGAATTCCCTGTAAAGAAAAACTTTATCTTTAATAATAAAGATATTATTCTTTTTCGTCTGATAATTAAAAACAGAACAAAAGGATAAACATATAATTATGAAAATAAATATTTATTTCGGGACAAATTAAATTAAAAACATATAAGGAGGGATTTAAATGAGAATATTCATATTTTACAAAATTGTGAGAAATTTTTTGTGTCTCCAAATTATTTAACACATGATTAAAATTAAAAGAAAAGAAAGTAAGCAATTAAGAATAATAATGTGGTTTCATATTAATTATGTAATCATGGTGACTTAATTAACCCTAAAATCATGTACAAATAATATATTCACTGATCACAATGTATCACATGTGATAAGTATGTTGGTTATGCTAATGCATTGACGGTTGTTAACAACAAAATCACATCATTACCACAAACTAATCACATTATAAGATGTCTAAAGTTTATTAAAGGATTATCACAGCAAAATTATATTATTATCACATCATTATTGATAAAAAAAGACGCCAAACATTTGAGGATAAATGCAAAATATATATATATATATATATATATATTGGCCTAATCAAATGAGAACTAATTAGTTTGCAGTAATTGTGAGATTACATGAACCAATCATTTAAGATAATATTTTTCTTAAAATAAAATAGAAGGGTAAATTAGTAATTTAGGTTAATTATTCATTTTGCTATAATTAGTTTAATATTCCAATTTACTTTAATTAGATTTATTACTTTATTTTATATATATAAACACATACACACACATTGACACACAGAGACCAAAATCCGGTGGCCTCTTCCGGCAAGTGATGACCTCCTCCGGTCATCTTGTCCAACCAATACGCCATTTTCGACGACCATCTCCATTCCTCCATCACCGCTATTGATCACTATCTACATCTATATACCTATATACAACGTAGGCGTCATAGTGGTACTACATTTGGTATCACAATGGTTACACGGTTGGTATCACAATGGTACCACAGTTGTTATCATAGTGGTCTCGAAGCTTACTTGGTGTGTTTTGCAGGGGTAGATGGCCTGCTGGGTTTTGGCCCCTGGGCTTTTTGTTGTAAATACATTATATGCTCGATCCGTTAAAGACTTTTTAAGTATAAAAAAAATTGGGGCCCTCCACTTTGATCCAGTCCTCCAGCGGTAGTGCTCTGTGCTCCTCGACGTCGACGGTAAGTCCTCCAGTGGCACCGATGGTTTAATTTGATACAGCTCTTTACATTTGTACGACCAATACAACTCAATCTTAACCGTGCATTTAATTTGATGAATATGTGATTTTATAAGAGTTTTGATTGTTTCATAATATAAAATATTGATCATAATTAATGAACTCTAGTCATATTCTATAAATATTCAAATCATATAAGTGAACTCTCATCACTTCCATAAATATCTTAATTAATTGGGTTGCATTGGTTGTACAAATGGACATGGTTGCATTTGAAATATAACATACATATAATATAACACAGATTGTTGATAAATATTAATTTATTTTTATTCATTCTAATTTTTATTATGGGTTAATTAATTCATAGACTCAGAATTGATCTTGCATTTTTGTATATGAAAAAAATGTTCTTGTTTTAACCTCTAATGGTATATATTTATGTTGTTATGAAAATCTGATATAACACCGAAGGAGAAGAGAGGTGAGTCGATTTGAGGAGCCTAGAAGTGTTCGTGATCCGGTTTAGCCGGTTTAACCCTCCAAACCACAAACCAAACTATAATGTTGGTTTAGACAATTTCCAAACCAAACGGTTTGACAACAACCCACCAAACCGTTCAAACCAGAACACAAAAAAACAATATGGTCCAACTTTTTTAGGCCTCTTATTAATTTTAAATTAAATATAATTAATATATGTATATTTTTGACGATCAATTCAGACTATTTAAAAAACGTTCAAACAACATATTCCTCGAAAAGATTTAACGATTTAACCATTTTTCAGAACATACCGAACCATCGTAGAAACATCAAAAACCGGTTTGATTTAAGTGAGTTCCACCGATTTTAAAGGGTGAAACAGTTTTTTTAAAGATCCATGGAGGAACCATTGGACCAACAACTGCAATATGGGTATCACATTGATTTAGCAGAGCCTCTAATGGCGTCTAGATTCGCGAGCCTCAGATCCAAACAAAAGCTTCATCATTCACGGACCGCCTCCGCCACCGCCACGCGTCTCTACACCCCTTCCATTCCGCCATTTTAAAACCTCCGCATTTACCTCCACAATCTTCACACACGACAAAAACCACCCAGTAAGGCAACTCTGTAGGAGAAAAAGGAAGATGAAGAACGTGCTGAAAACGCCACCTGAAGCTGCCGTACAGTTGCCACCACCTACCACTAAGCTTACACCGGAGGTCGTCGAGAATGGCACCATGACTGGCCCGCCGATGCTGTCGAGCACCGTCAAGAGACGGCTCCCTCGGAACTATGACATGATGTATTTGGCCTTGCGACTTGTTTGCTTATCGGCGTCGGTCGCATCGGTTGTTGTTATGACCACCGCCAAACAGAGATCAACGATCTCACTTTACGGCTTTGATCTCCCTGTTTACTCCAAATGGTCTTTCTCCGATTCCTTTGAGTAAGGCCTCGATCTCCCCATCTTTTTCATGAAGAAAACTCTTGCTTAAATCTCTTTGATGCAAATACAAGTGTATGCATGGAAGGTGTTTGATGGAAAGTTTATGTATAGAGATCACTTGCAATCTTGTTATATTTTTATAAGATTTTCATTGACAAAAAATTGATGAGCTCGAGAATGATTGTTAATGAACAGCTATTTGGTTGGAGTATCAGCATGTGCTGCGCTTCATTCTCTTCTTCAACTGTTCGTGATCTCAAGGATGATGCTAAAGAAATCATCCATCATTTCTTCTAGGAATCATGCTTGGCTTATCTTTGCTGCTGATCAGGTAACGGTTTACAGTCGTATAGACTTGTGAATATGTTGTATTTAGATACGTGAAACCTTATTTGATTACTCGCTAACGGAGTTTTTTAGGAGGGAAGAAGCCGGGGATTCCCAAAAAATGATAATACAAGGAACACCCCTAGTAACCATTCATTTATACAATATGCATATGTACATACAAGTTAATTGAAGTGTTTCTTGTTTTTTATGCACGTATTCATGTTATTCACATATGCATCATGGAAAAATTTCTTACAAGTTTACGTGGCGTTCTCTCATTTGTCCCCTAGTTCACAATAGGACTTAAGTTTGTAACTGAATCTTCCCACACACACATAAGAAATGATAAGAATTCATTTATTATGATTTGAATATTTATGGAAGATTAATATGGTTCATTAATTATGATTAATATTTTATATTAGGAAACAATCAAAACTTCTATAAAATCACATATTCATCAAATGAAATGGACGGTTGAGATTGGGTTTTATTGGTTGTACAAATGTCAAGGGTTGTATAATAACCAACTCCTCTCTCTCTCTCTCTCTATATATATATATATATAAATAAGATACGTTCAAGTTTAGCAAATATAGAACTCTAAATGTTAATATTGGTAACGAATTGATATACAGGTATTTTCATATGCGATGATGAGTGCCGGATCTGCTGCATCGGGTKTTACAAATCTGAATCGAACCGGGATCAAACACTCATCTCTACCCAATTTCTGTAAGCCGTTGCATAGCTTTTGTAATCGTGTTGCGCTTTCTATTGCATTCACGTTCTTCAGTTGCTTCTTGCTCGCCATGTCTGTGGTTCTTGACGTCGTTTGGCTATCTGAATGTTGAAGATCGGCGTACGTATTACCACCCCTCCCGACGTGCTTCTTGTCTCGAATGTTTATTACAATCAATCAATATATCTAAAACCCTTGTTATCGGAACATTAATCAATTTGGTAGTATATGATCCCATTTTTTTGGCTTAGCAAATTAATACCCTTTTTCGAAAGGGACCTTAGTTTAATATCCTCAAGTTCATGCGTGTGATCAATTTTCGGGGTCGTTTACTAAACACTTAACTGGTAAGTGTTTACCGGTAAAATTTAACACTATCACTTACATACCAAGTAAGATTTTAGTTCACCAAAACGACATAGTATGCAACAATTTACCCGGTAAGCGTTTATCGTGGTAAGACTCATAGTCTTTGTCTCTATTTTACCGGGTAACATTTTTGGTCCTTACCATATTCATCCAGTGAGGTATTGTGACTTGGTAAGTGCCCACCCAGATAAATGTTTGGTAAACGTCACATTCAGACTTCCAAAAAAAGAGAAATAATTCATAAATGTATTGCAGGCCATCTTGAAATTAATGTGGTTGACAAATGGTTTGGTTTCTTGTGTTATTTTAGAGTTACTTTTCTAGCCATTGCGTTATAATTTTTTTAGCGTGAATTTCACTGGTGTTATAAATGATCTGCGTTTATGTTGATGGTCGTTAAATTTTCAATTTCATAACATTCATGATCTCTAAAGTTAACACCGTTAGTTGGCAATAACTATGAGAGATAAATCAATCTTTGGACAAACTACAAAGTCGAAAAGCATATAAAAGTCATTTTATCTATTTAAAATAAATATAAAGATATTTATTAGGGCATTTTAGTAACTTTGATTAATCGTCAAAGTGATGGACAAAACCCTTCTTAAAGAAAGTAGTGCACGTGAGAATATGTGAAACCCCGTTATATTACTTCTTAAAAGAGCATAGAGAGAATAGAAATTTGTACATATATTGAAGAAAAATGGTTCAAATACAATGGATGTAGTTATATTACTTCTTAAACCGGATCCACATTTAAAACGAATCTTAAAACAAACCATAGAGTGTTAGGGTTACCTTTTAGAATTGATGTTGGTTCTGAAAGAACAGTTAGAAATCAACGTAGATTCCACAAACAAACTTCTGGTCTACTGGGTGCTAGCCCAAAACCCTAATATAGCATGTGTTTTATAGAAAATAAAGAAAATGATTCTTTTCTATTTTGCCGGTAATCTCTGATCTAAAAGATAAGTTGATTAACCTTTTACACTTAGGCTTATCACTGTATTTATAGTTAGTTTACCTGAGTTATAAACTACTATAAAACCTAATCATGGGTTGAGCTTGTCATTATCCTTAAACCCATAAACTCTAATTTGATCCTTTAAGGTTTAGTAAAAAGTCTAGACCTAGAAAACATCCTTGTGGTTTTCATTTTGCTCTGAAAGTGGTTCGGTTAGAGGGAGGGACAATTTCGTCTTTTATCCCATTTTCTTAATTTTATTTTAAAAACTTAATAAATTATATATATGGTTCCGCCCTTTGAAACCCTGCACCAGTGACTCTCCTTCCCCCTTGTCGTCCCACCACCGACGTCGACTCCAACGCCGATGTCAACAAACAATCACCATCGTCTTCCTCTACTCCTATCTCCTACATGATTCCCATATCAATATATACTTTTCAAAATTTTAACCTCATTCTCAAAATTTTCAACTACGAGTATTTGCACATGCATGTATATTATATTGATATTTTTTTTACCTATTTTAAAACGTTTACAATCTATTACTATATATATATATATATAGAGAGAGAGAGAGGACGTTTCAAATGCAACCCATTACATTTGTACAACTAATGCAACTCAATTAATTGAGATATTTGTGAAAATGATGAAAGTTCATTTATTATGATTTGAATATTTATAGAAGATTATTAGGGTTCATTAAGTATGATCAATTCTTTATATTAAGAAACAATCATAACTTTTATGAAATTACATATTCATCAAATTAAATGGACAGTTGAGATTGAGTTGTATTAGTTGTACAAATGTAAAGAGTTGCATAATAACCTCTCTCTATATATATATATATATATATAATTTCTTAAACTTTACATTTAAAAACTACATTTGAATGTTTGCAAGCTTTATTATTTACAATTAAAAACCTTAAACATTCCATGCATTACCTGAAAACGAAAATAATCACTAAAAATTTGTACGTAATGACAAGTTTTCATATATTAACTTAAAGTTGGTATAAAACTGATATCAACATATATCAACCTAAAAGAAGTTGATATCATTTAAGTTGGTACCAAATATAATTGATTGATATATGATATAAGATTTTGTATATCAATCCCACATTCCCAACCCTAGATTTGACTGGGCCAGGCCCAATACTCTGAGGTATTTGAAGTTGAAGATGTGATTGTGAGCCCACTTGGCCCATTATCTTAAAACTAACCGTTTCTAAATTCGAAGCGTCAAAACTTCCGGCATCAGACCCTCACGTTCTCACGTTCACACCCCCACCACCTTCTTCTTCTCCCTCCAAAAACTTCATTCAATTCAATCTATATATATAATCATCAACCCCTTCAATGGCAACTCCCATTTTGCAAGCACAAACTACTCCCATTACCACTTTCTGTGCTTGCAAACCCAAGAAAATGGCGTCTTCTACTTCTTTTGCTCTTCTTTTCTTAGCAATCGCCACCGCCACAACCACTGCTGCTGCCAAGGAATTCCAGGTCGGAGACGCCGTTGGGTGGCGAATACCAGCCACCAACGAAACTGAACTCTACAATGTCTGGGCTTCAAGAAGGCGTTTCCATATCGGCGATTCCCTTCGTCGGTTTCCGTTCTTCTTTCACCCACCTTTCCTTGACTACTGATTTACACCATTTTTAACCATCTTTTTCTCTTTCTGTTACAGGGTTTCATTACAAGACTGATTCGGTGGTGGTGGTTGAAAAATGGGGGTTTTACCACTGTGATTCAAGCAATCCGTTATCGTTTTTCAATGATGGTAATACCCTCATCAATCTTGACAAAGTGGGTACGATTTATTTCATAAGTGGGAACGCCGATCGTTGCAATAAAGGCCAGAGAATGACTGTGAAGGTGATGAATCTCCACCAGTTTCCTCCATCAATCGCGCCATCAATCGCCATTCCGCCACAAAACAACCCTTACTACGCCATGTCTCCTTCTCCTTCGCCATCTCACCTCTCGGGTTCGGGTACTTCATCGGATTCTGGGCCGGTTGCTTCAGTTTCTGCATCGATCATGGTTCTTATTGTTGGACTTGGTTTGTGGTTGGTGCAGCCATAGGTTCTGGTTCTGGTTATTGTTTTCTGAGTCGTTTTAACAATTATGTTCCTTTTATTGGTCAAGAAACTTGGTTGCTTTCATTTGTGTTTAGTAGGTTTGAATTAAGTAATTGGGTGCCTTTGTATCTTTTGTTATTTATCTGGATTCTATTTCAATCTTGTTTTGATTTGATTGTATTGATTTAGAACATGAACTACTGGGATTCCATCACTGTGCTTAAATCAGTAAAGATCTTGAAATCTTGAAATCATAACATAACATAAAAAGTTCACACCATCGAGGAAGATCTTGAAATCTTGATTTTTGACCATAAAAGATGCTCATGGGTGATTTATATCAGATCATAGGGGATGAAATCCTTTTGTTTCGGAATCATGAATACCCGAGTTTGTCGAGAGTGAAATGGTATGAAGGTTCATTTCACGACCGGCTTTTACCATCAACTGTCGTCGTCTTGTCTTTCGCCGTCTACATTTCGATAATCGGTGCCTAATGGACATAACCTCCGGCTCCGAGTCCCATAGCAGGTTTCCGTTTATAGCGGCTAAGTGCAACGGTGTGTAGCCATTGTTGCTGAATTGTGAAGCTTGGTCGGGATCCGTTCTTAAGAGCATCGTTGCAATCTCCAATTGTCCACTTCTGCAAGCACAATGCAACGCCAAAGGTCCGTTTATGTCCTTTCTCTAGGCAAGATCCGCGCACTTTTCTAGCAACCTCTTGGCGATATCTGCATCACCAATACGAACGAAAATGCTAAACAGCGCAGGTTTTCTCTCTCCATTCTGTAGCCATCTTTTCAACTTATTGATCGAAATAACTGAGATTACACAAGTAGTACTTAAACAACTTGCATAACCCACTTTTTTCTATATAATACACATAAAAATTACGCAAGCTTATGAGGTTTGTTTTTAAAATCCTTTTTGGTCGAAATCAATCCTTACGTATCATGGGTTGTTTGTTTACCTCTTAATAGTTCTATTAAGAGGCATCATTTGGATCCTTAAGAGGTGAATCTTGTTTGGCAAAAAAAAATCTGCTTCTTAATACCCTCCGAATGATTTTGTATCATTGCCCTCCTTAACCATTCACGGCCATAATTTCATTGTAAACAGTTATATTTTATAATCGTTTTGTACCAAACCATTTAGCAACTAATAAACAACCCCTTAAACTATGGCTATTTGAGGAAGTGAATTCCCGATATGACTAAAAATTGGGCATTTTGGACAATTTCCTTGATCGAAATACGAAATTATATTTAACAGGAGTTATCGATGATCGCTTAAGCTCGCTACCTGTGGGCCTTCTGAGGCTGCTACATGAAGACATGGTGCATCGTCTAAGATGGTCAACAACCAACCAGAAGGAAATGAGTTAATCAACAATGGCAAGATGCCCATAACTACATGCCAAGAACAAAGCACTCTGGTTTTGACAATCGAGCTAGCTAGCCACCCATTGGTTAGCAGCTTGACCACCCTCATGTCCATTGCGACAAGCTTCACGGGAACAACGAGATGATGACATTAACAAGAGATCAATAAGGGGTTTCACCAATGGTGGAGTGGGGTGTCGGCCGTGGGAACAACGAGATGATGACGGAGACGGGATTTTATATCTGGCCGGAGATATGGTTTTAGATATAGTCGGATATGGTAGTGGTTAGTGACGGGGAAGAAGGCATGGCAGGTGGCGGCCGATGACAGAGGAGGAAGACGAAGATAATAGTGATCGATGATGGTGGAGGGATAGCGGTGGTTGTTTTCATCGCCGACGGTTCAATTGAATCAAGTCTCTAAACCATGAAATACATCTTATTTTGGGTATCGTACTTCCAAAACTTCCATTTTGGTTCCTATGACGTAAAGTTTTAAAGATTTAAGTATCCGATTGAAAAATTAACATATTACCATGCTGATGTGCGAGTGATGTGGTATCCGATTGATGTTTCAACAAATCATACTGAGTTGTCGAGACAAGACATACATAAAACTGATCTGGACACTCACGGTTATCCAAAATATTTCTCTAATATAAGATTAGTTCCATCTCATTTGTATATATTTTAAAAATACATCTAAAACTGAATACACATTACATTTCTATGCCAAAAAACACTACTTCACTACAAAACTTCAGAAAACCAATAACCGAACCAACCACCTCTGTTCTAACAATTATTTCAATGTCAAATTCAGACTCTCCTTTCAGATAGCACCAAATTCACTTCTTCAACCTACACACAAAACCATCGTTCCGTTCATCGTTAACCACAAAATGAAGGAAGTTAAATAGGAAGGTGTAACGGAACTCCTCAGAGCTCAATGCAGCAGTCTGACCCAATAACTTTCAAATCAAGTTAAAATCATGGTGAAAGTTACTGGTAATCCACAACTTTGAGCTTACAAGGAGCTCACAAATATAATTTTCTGTCTTGTAAGACGGGTTGTTACATTTAAGACGTTCAAAATCTTTGTCAAGCTTTGTTCCGTCACGTGCTGGCCTGATTAGCTTCTTCTTTCTGCTTCACGACCATCGATTGCATCTGTGCACGTTTTATAGCCCTGATATCTAGTATGCTTGGCGGACTCGGTTGAACGCAGCCATGCAACTCGACTAGATTCATGAATTCTTGCTTGTTCAGACTTCTCTTCTCAACAAGTGCATCAACAACGGCATCCATGAGTTTCCTATTTTGCTCAAGTATCTGAAATTATTTTCAAGCAAATGGAATCATAAAATGACCATCAAGTAGTGCCATATACATATATATATACATATATATTAGTAAGATAGCAAGATATGCACAAATAGTAAGAAATGCACATGCGCATACAAGTAATTGAAAATGTTTCATGGTTTCTATACACATGTGGATACTAATTACTTACAACGTACTTGTATGCACATGTGCATACCATACATACGAATGTTACTAGGGTGTTCCCCAGTTTTTTATTCTTTTGTGGTTTTCTCCAGAATCTGACCATCTCCCTCCTGCCCCTCTCTATACATAGGGGGAGGTTCAAAAGAGAAGCTAAACATTTTACGAGAAGGCGAAAAGGTTCAATATCATATATGATTACATGCATGATACATAAGTTTAATCATCTATAATTAAACGTATATTGCATTGACAATACATAGACGCTTCATCATATATAATTAAACACACCCAAAGAAGTGTAATTATATATGATATTGAAACTTGTTGCCTTCTCGCAAAATGTTTTAACTTCTCGCATGATCCTTCCCCTCTCTCTCTCTCTCTCTCTATATATATATATATATATATATATAAACATGTTATACCTTTTTTGCACGTTCGTAACTCGTATTCATGATCCGCAATGCCTCAGTATCAATGTCCTAATTTTCAGATTTTCAATCAGATATAGAATGAAAATATAATGTATCAAAATGGTCACAGATTGGAAAAGGATCCCAAATCAGTACATTAATTCGATCCGCAGCCCAGGAGATAGGTACACCATAATAACTGTCTGTAAGGCCACCAAGAACAAGTGCCCGTGCAGCTGACCTAGCAATGTCTGCTGCTTCAGCCCATATTGTACTCAACTGCAGAGTTTAAATTCATCAGTCACAGGATAGGGGGAAAATGGATTTTTGAATTATACAGCTTCTATATATATAAGGTCAGGTTCAGGGGAAAACCACAAAAAAGAATTGAGAAAGACCCTAGTAACCATTCATCTTGGTATGCATATGTGCATATAAGTAATCTGTAACATGCACACTTACATACAACCAAAGAAACATCTTCAATTACTTGTATGCATATGCTGCATACCGTACATATTAGCAGATATTAGGGTGTTCCTTAGTTTTTCTTTTCTTTTTATGGGGTTTTCCCCAAAACCTCACCCTCTTTCTATATATATATATATATAGGGGAGCGTTCAAATAAAAACCACCCAATTTGTACAAACCGTGAGGTTTTCATTTGATCGCTACTCTCTCTCTATATATATAGATATGTATATATAAAACGAGATGTATCAATGGAAAGTAATGCTAGAAAAAATCATCCAGACAGTGTAAAACATGTAAATACATAATTTTGTTACTTTAATTTCCTGAAACATAATCATAACATTAATCAAGCTTCTGGAGGAGAAATAATTTTTCCAGATAACTCCATCCACTGTCAAGAATATTTCAATTTGGAGCAAGTACATAGTTTAATAAACAATTGATGACAGGAATGATATTTAAAAATTTCCTTTCTAATACAACAAACATTACTGATCCATAAACATATATTAATGACGGATCTCACAGTTACATATTCGGATAAATTCAACACACATACTGAACATATGTGAAAATTATGCTCATAACCTTTGCTAGAATGATAGAATCATATTTAGAAAAGCTAAAAATTTACAAGATTGTTGAAGGGGAATCTTTTTCAGAGACACCCTAAAAAAGGTCCACACTTTTAGAGATACAAAACACCTATAGAATTAAGGTGTTCTCACCTGACCCTTGCCATGCCAAATCTCATCAGCTGCCCGTGGTGCTAGTTGAACAGTAATGTGATCTAACATCGACTGCCGACTGTATGAGATCATTGGGAAAAGGGAACTGATATTAGACAAAAGCTGGATATGAATAGGCCAACAGAATGACAGTCAATTTTCTTGTACATCTTACAAACCCAACCATTACAGAATCGTATCATGTTCCTTTGACTTGACCAAAAAAAAACACAGCTACTAGTTACTCCTGGTCTAGAATTAGTATCTCACTTTCAGTTATCGCACATTTCAAAGAGTCTTAGGCTCTATATTTAGATAACAAGATGACATCAAATACTCATCATTTCGTAACTAATCGCCAAAATAGTATCCTTAAGAAGTTGCCATTTTGCTTTGACATAAAAGATGTAGAACTTGTCTATCAATTTGCATGACTGTAAAGTCTAGAACTTATCACAGGTAGGAGTTGTTTGGTTGGTTTTCTATCAAGTCCAGTATGAATAAAGTTGTCTGTATGGATTAGCCTGTCTTTATAGATTGAGGAATTTTTTGTCTGGGAGAGTTTTCTCATTGATGGAAGAAGCGTGTTTTTTAATTCGAAGGGGCATGTTTGGAAAAAAAAAATTGACTTTCTAGATAAAGCTCCCCCTAGAAGCTTACCGAATAAGCTACTTTCTATATCATTATGTCACTGCCACTACAAACAGTCATGTATAGCTGACTGGATAAGCTGTGAGTCACATTAAGCTTATTAAGCTGCTAACAAAAGGCCCATAGTTTATCTAATTTCGTTGTATATCTTGTTAAGCAAAGTAACATCATTGCCAAGCAGAAAGTCCAATTGAAAGCTGAGAGCAACAAGAACTTAGCAATGACAAGGAATCCACACCTCATAAATCCTTGCTCAAATTTGATGAGATCCATTTTCACCCGCACATAGCCCAATTCCCTACCAGCTCTTGGAGCAATATTAATCTGTTCAAAACAAATGTTACTAAAATTAGAAGTCACTCAAATACAACACAAAATCAAACAACATAAAGGAGGTACGCAAAACTGTGGGTGAAAGTGATTCTCATGAATCATATCAGCTATACACACACACACATATATATGTATACGTAAATCACATGATTATCATCCAACATAAGGAACGAATGAAAGCTAGCAAATGCAGGTTCGAAGATGAGGTTTTTAGAAAAATAGCATTTTCTTCCTCTTATCTAGATGAAAAAGAAGAGAACCAAAGCAGCGCTACTATTATATTACACCCTAAATGATATCAAGTGAAGGTTGAGAACCATACAAATTCAATATTCTTAAGATCATGGAAATTCATTGCGACAACAGCCATAGCTGCTTCATTGATAGCCACTTGCCTCCAAATTTCAGGGCTCCTATCCTTCTTATCAAGCATTCCTCTTTCTTCTATTTGTGCAGATTGTAACAAGTCATCTGTGGTGATCTGTGTCAGTAGTATCATGTTGACATTAGAATTGATCCCGAACATGCATCGGTTGCTAGGTACTTATTACATAACTTAAATGCTTATAGAATACCTCAGTTCTTCCTTCACGCATCATGTTAATTGCAGCAACCTCGACGATATTAGCTAACTCAGCACCAACCATTCCCTCAGCCATACCCGCAACAGCCGCATAGTCCACATCTTCAGCCATTGGTTTCTTACGAGCATGCACCTACTCCATTAGTAAGAAGAAACGTACATGATAGTTAGACCCAAAGAGTATACCGAGAAACAATATCGAAATAGATAACTGTCCCTTAAACAATTTAATCAAACCTTCAAAATCTCAATCCGTCCTATTAGGCCTGGTTTAGGTATAAATATTTTTCTATCAAAGCGCCCTGGTCTCACAAGTGCAGGATCCAGGATATCTGGTCTGTTCGTGGAAGCAATAGTGATCACGTTTCCTCTGCCTTCGAATCCATCTAAGCATACAAGAAGCTGAAGTATAGGCAGAACTTAACTTTAACGCATGTTCAAACTAATCATTTAATGCCATGTAATGGCTTAATAGTATGATATAATCAATATCACCTGATTTAGAGTTGCATCACGTTCTTGTCCACCAGAACCCTTTATTAAACCACGTTCCCTTCCAACGGCATCCAGTTCATCAATAAAGACAACAGATGGAGCCTGTGAGAATTGATCATAAACATTCTCATGGTAAGGTTTAGCCAAAATCAGCAATTCAGTTGGAATAAAAAGTAAGCATGATACAAAGATTTTGAAATAAATGAACCCAGATACAAACTATACACGGAATCATACACCTAATTACAGAGTTGTACTAGACCCACCGAGGTGGGCCTACAACACCGAGCAACAAAATTGACAGTACGAAATAAGATTAAAAAACGAAAATGAATGAAGTTGAGTGCAAGTAAAACCAGAAAAAAAATCTCACACTCTCCCTTGCTTCTTGATAGAGTGCTCGGACACGTGATGCACCAACTCCAACGTATATTTCCACAAACTGGGATGCAGAAATAGAAAAAAAGTTTACACCTGCCTCACCAGCAACTGCTTTTGCTAACAAAGTCTTTCCCACTCCGGGTGGGCCACAAAGAAGTATACCGCCTGATAGAAGTATACAACATAACATCTCAAAAGATAATAAAGTTACAAAAGCAAACTGCACAAAACAAGATGACACTAGAATGGTTGAGCAAGCTCTCACGGAAAAGATGATTGGAATTTGCTTGCAAAGTAAAAGCTTACACTCAAAAAGCTGTTGAAATAAATAACTAAATTGCATTATTGTTTGGTAGTAAATCCCTAATTAACAAACAGGAAAGCTATCATTGATGGGACTATCAAGGTCAGATGAGCAGGGGAAAATTGAGATGAAGAGTTGCAAGAATAAGAAGCAAATGCAATTATTACCATTTACCAAAGTTAATTAAAACACAATCTCAAACAAAATATTAGAAAATTAATGAATTTAATAACGAAAGACTTGGCTTTTGAAGACTGAACAACTCTACACCAGCATCTAAGCATCTTTAAGTTGGCAGTCAAAATCATGTTTTCAAGCAGTGTTCTGAATGGCCACTTAAACGATTGCCTAGGCATTCAGCAACCCCCCATCGATCCGATTAGTTCTGGCCGCCTAGACATCCACTATTCTAGTTATCACTTCAAAAAATAAGCAGACTATTATCAACTTCTCTCAAGTCTCAACTTGGAGGTAGTATTTCCCATCGATCCCGAGAGCAATAAGAGCAATGCAAATAATGAAATCTGTTGTTTAAGAAAATGATTGCATCAAAAGAGTATAATATTGTAATATTAATCATCATTAATCTATAGTTAATTATCTTTTGCGTATTAAGATGAATCATGTGTCCCCTTAGTCATCCGCTTAATCCTTGCTTAGACGATCAAGCTCTAGAAGGTCACCCATTTTCTAGAGTACCAATACAGTATTTGCTAGAACAATTTCATAAGAGAATCAATTTTTGAGACAAACATAACTGTTATAGAGGCCAACACAGCCGAAATTATCAACACTACAACTATTAGCTCTAAGTATGCAGAATAAGAAGGCATGTAACTTCGAAGCAACACAAATGCAACAGCTTGAAGGTTCCTTCAGAATGCAATTTGGTTTTTGTTCCTATTCGAATCCATAGTAGGGGCGCATAGTACAGTATGATGCTTTTCAAGGCATTGTCAATAGTCTCAGATAATGGTAACACCTGATGTATGGATCTGAAATCTCTCAGCAACATGATATGCTTCGAATGTAGCCATACAGATAATAAATCACAGCAGAACACAAGCGACCCGCACAACCAACATATAAAAAGTTAAGATTGTTAACATTCTCATTAAGTGGGAGGTATTCTTTGAAATGAGAAAATAATATGTGCCTTCCTCCAATCTCTTACCATCGAAACATAAGCATATGAAATTGACAGTTTTTTTAGTCACGAGCAATTGAACATTTATATCCAAGGCACACAATGTTAGCCAAAATCCAAAAGCCGCTAATCTAACATAATCTGATAGGTGTACCTGGTATTTTGACTCCTCGCCTGCGGTATATTTCCCCATGTGTGAAGAACTTCACAATCTCCTCCAGCTCAAGTCGTATTTTCCCAAGCCCAGCAACATCTGTGAACTTCACATCCACATCTTTTTCTAAGTACTGAGAAAGTTTCTTTTTTGCACGGCGAACCCGAGCACCAGATTTCATAAACTGTGCAGCCATCTTCATGTAGGGGTTATCCTCACCCTGTTTTCCTTCTTCCTCCTCATCGTCTTCAAGTCCTGCCATCCCCCTCTCTAAGTCCCTCATTTTCCTCTTCTCCTCGGCTTCGGCTTTCTCAATCTTCAACCTATCCTCATAATCCTTTTTCTGCTTCTTATAATTTAAAACCACAGTCTTGTAGAATAGGAAAAAAAACAACAAGCCAACGCCCAATGTAACATTGGAGTCACCAGCCAGTTTCCTCCACATGATAGACCCACGGTAGTATTTACCACGAGCTAACTGTATGGACTGCTCGTTTCTAAGCTTTTGTTCGTCCATCTTCTTCTTCCTCTCTTCCATCTTCTTCTGTGCTCTCTTTGCCTTCTCCATATTTGTCACTTCTTTCTTCCTATTCAACATTTCGTTAATCCGACTCTTCTTCAGCTCCTCCCTTGCCTTCCTCAACTCCAACACCTTCTTTGACTGTGGTTTCGGCTTCACAATTGAATACATCCACAAAGGTACTCTCGATAAAAACCCTAAAAAGGGACGGGGTACATCTGGCATCTTAACTGGGGGAGTATACGCTTGAACACATATCGAATCAATCTCCAATGCATCCCATGATTCCCAAAACTTTTTATCACTCTCTACCGATGGCACCACAACTCTAGCAACCTTCGAATCCTCTAAAACGGCTAAAACAACTACAGGCCTTTCCTTCAACCCTTTACCAGGGGGTTTAATTATGTGCTTAAGCTTTCCATCGCGTTTCAGATCCAAAATATCAGTATATGGAATTCGTTTAGCCACAACAGGTAGCCCTTGTGACCATTTATTCCACTCTTGGGGCGTTAATGCATCCACTTTTTTTGGAGAACGCTTTTTTTGCGAAACTTTTGCTGCTAATACAGGCTGGGGTAGCGAAGCTGATATTATTGTTAAAGTTACAGAGATTTGGAGCAAATTCAACGCAATTTTCTTAGTTTTTGATTCTTCCTCAGTTTCTAAGTTACAATGATGACATGTAATTGATGAATTAACGTTAGCTGAGTATCTAATTCTTCGAGATTGTAGTCGACGTGATAAGGAAATTGGGGGGAACAACGATGAAGCGGGAATACAATGAGATGCCATGGAAATTGAGTACAAAAACTAGAGAGAGAGAGAGAGATTGAACGACCGTATTACGTTACTGTGTTGATTGAAGAAAGCGAGTCCAGTGCTTAGGCTAGGGTTTTGCCGGAGCAGATTAGGGCTTTTTATACCTCATGATGCCGCCATCCTCAATCAATACCAGTCGGCACTCAGCAATGCACCAGAAAGAATCGAGCAGTCTTCCTGTTCAAGATGAAATTGCTCTGTAAATTTGCAGAGGAACAGAAGGGAGGCCGGAGTTCTGGCCGGCGTGAACTTTTTGGAGGATGATTTGTAGATAGGTTCCATTTTAGCAGGTTATTTATTTTCAAAACATATTTTATTTAAATGCGACGAAATATAAACTTTTGAATAAATAAATGAATATTTTGTAAATTATATATATCGAGGGTTGTTTGGGATTGCTTATAAAAATAATTTATTGACTTATTACATGTGACATCTGTAATAAGCATTTTTAAGTGTTTGGATAAATAATTTATACCGGTGTCAAACCGGTAATAAAAAGTTTTTGAAGAAGTTAAATCATTTGGACTTATAATAAGTTGATAAATACTTTTGTAGAAAAAACATAAGTTGTTTCAAATAAGCAATCCCAAACACCCCCTTAAATATCTTTTTATAGGTCAAGTTTATTCATACCCCTCTTATACGAGCTATATGTTATTGAGTAGGGGTATAAAATGTGCAACGCTGCCTACTAACATGTTAAATATGAGTTTTTGAACAGAATCCGAAAAATTTCGGAGCTAATTTTACTTGCATTCGGGCCTGATTTATATAGACATATGAACCAAGTTGCCTAATGGAGTTGACCAATGAAGTAGCATTTCCTATGTAATTTTCCTTTAAAAAGACATAAAAATTAAGCTGAAATTATGGTATCAGAATATGTAAAGATTAAATCAGTGTTTGAGGATGGACAAAAGTCCTTGAAATGTGCGTTATTTATATGTTTAGATTGTAATTTCTATAAAGTAGTCGGAATATTTATCAAATAGCTGATTTTTGTTTAGTACTAAATCAAACAACATTAAATGATAATTTTCTGCTATTCAGACCATTTACTTAAAACACTTACTTAACAGTCATATTTCATTCAGTTATTGATCTAGACATAACCTGTGAATCAGACAATCATGTTATTCATACAGCTCGCAATCCTTCATAATGACTTTTTAGCTATTTAATTGAAGTAATCGGTTGAGAAAACCAATCTAATGAAGAAGTTGAACTTGATATCCACCTATTGAGGCTAGGTGTTTGGTTATGAAGCACAATGACGAGAAATCAATCTGTCGTGTCGTTTATTACTTTCGTTAGGTGTATCGGTAAGAGTCACTATCTCAACCACAAGGGTGGTGCCTGATTGGTTTGAGCTTGGCTCCAAAGGTCAAAAGTACCAGGAGGTCTCAGGTTCAAATTCAAGGAGGAATAAAAATCCCCTTGTGGCCACGGAGGTTCAAATGCGGTGACTCCGGGCTATCTGCAAAGCAGATGGTCGCCTTGGGATTAGTCGGCTCACATAGCGGGTTGGATATCCAAGTTAATCAAAAAAATAGTCACTATCTCTTTTACCTTGTTAGGTAATACTCTTGCCTATCAAAATGAATTGTTTGCAAGTGTTTCTTACCCGATAAGTGCTAACCGAGTAAGTGGTCGTTTACTAAATGCTTACTAGGTAAAAGCTTATCGATATCACTTACGTTACTGATTGAGCATGACATGAAACAAGAATCCTACCTGGTAAGAGGCATAACAAGGACTGAGAGTCTTACCCGGTAAGTTAGTAAAAAAGACTCACGCGATAAGCGCTTATTGGGTTTAAAACGCTTACCAGCAATCCATTTTGATGGATGAGAATGTTACATGATAAGGTAAGTGAGGTAATTTCTCTTACCAGGTAAGCGTTTGGTAAATGACCCCCTAAAACTCACTGGGTAAGAACCTCGGTTGTTGTCATGTATTTAACTGAATACGATTTTAGATCATTTTCANGGTAAGCGTTTGGTAAATGACCCCCTAAAACTCACTGGGTAAGAACCTCGGTTGTTGTCATGTATTTAACTGAATACGATTTTAGATCATTTTCATGCTTAATTGGTAATTAACCCGGTAAGCGTTTGGTAAATGACCCCCTAAAACTCACTNATTAACCCGGTAAGCGTTTGGTAAATGACCCCCTAAAACTCACTTACTGGGTAAGAACCTCGGTTGTTGTCATGTATTTAACTGAATAAGATTTTCGATCATTTTCATGCTCACTCGGTAATTAACCCGGTAAGCGTTTGGTAATTGAACGACCCCTAAATATCTTTCTTTCATATTGTTTTCCTAGAGAGAGAGAGAGTTCACATATATATAGAGAGAGAGAGAGAGAGTTCATATATATATATAGAGAGAGAGAGAGAAAGAGAGAGATTTCAAACGAGAACGATACTTATTTAAGAGAATAAGAGAACGTATTACACTAACATCACGTACAAAATTACATGTGATTCACGCAACTTTGCCCCACGACCTGGAATACGCGGCCATAGGGTCACCCACACATTTAACTTTTTGACCGTTAATGTAAAATCACATGTGATTAATGCACGTGATTTGGCCGTTTTCGTATTCTCTTCAATAGTTAAAATTGTCGTGTGATCCTTCCATATATATATATAGAGAGAGAGAGGGGGGGATATATTCAGACGAGAATGATAACTATTTAAAAAATTAAGAAAATGGTCAAATTAAGTACAAAATCACATGTGATTTTACATTAACGGGCAAAAAAGGGGGCGTGGGCAACTTTGGCTTAGAGTAAAGTCGTGTGAATCACATGTGATTTTATACTTGATATCAGAGTAAAATCTAATTCGACCATTTTCTTGTTTTCTTAAATACGTATCATTTTTGTATGAACCGGACTCTCTATGTAAATTATTATACTTGGGTTGGGTGCACATGAGACCAAACTGTTTTCGTGTGACCCGTGAGACCAGTTTTTTACACTTGAAACTTCATAGCAAAACACTGTGAAGATAAAAAAAACTCCGAGCCTTTACAGCAAAAACGCTATAAATATTACATTTATAACGTTTTGTTGTGAAGTTAAGTCTAAAAAATTGGTCTCACAGTCTCACGAAAACAAGTCTCACGAAAACAAGCCGGTCTAGCGTGATAATTATATGTGTGTGACTTGGCGAACAAAATAGAAGGGATATGATGGTTTCAATAACTTTCATATTAATGGAATCAATTACGTGCCATCTGGTGGCCGGATAACTAGACCGGAAAACCATCAGTCTCAGCCACCACCCATGACGGATACATCCACCCATCCACCGTCTCAACTATCAACTCGTTTGACGACGACTCAAAAAACCCATCTAGGCTCGGTAACTCAATGATTTCGCCCAGCTGATCATCCACCGGATTACTGGAGACACTACTATCAGCTGCCGGAGACAACATAGAAACATCCGACGACGGCGGTTGCCCCAAACTCTCCGACGAAAAAGACGAAAACTGTTGCATGGTGGCTGCTTTCGCGGCGGCTTCTTGGACGTCACGTGGAGAAACGGAAGCTGGACGTGGCAAAGAGTCTTTGAGGTGTGGGAAATTAAGGATGGCAGAATTGCCTTTGATGGACAAGGCGGCGACGTCGTGAGCTCTGGCGGCCATCTCCGGCGTGGAAAAAGTCCCGAGCCAAATGCGAGATTTCTGACGAGGTTGTCTTATCTCAGAGACCCATTTACCCCATCTTCGCAGTCGAACTCCCCGGTACACCGGAAAATGATCTTCGGGATTGGAATGTCGTGATCTCTTGCAAGACCTGGGTTGTAAAACGGAGGAATCCGATTGAGTTGAACCAGCGGTGGCGGTGGCGGTGGCGGTGGCGGAGGAGGAGGAAGAAGCCATAAGAGGAGCCATTGATGCTAGTTTGGAGGGTTACACCAACGTTATATCATATATCTAGCTAGGTAGGCTGGCTACTGCCATGATTAATTGTACGTAATATTCCATCGGCATGAACCCACCTGATAGAGCTGTTTGATTTTCTTAAAAAAATAATTATTTGCTAATAAAAAACTGGAAAACGGATCCAAGATTTTTATCGAGCGAGTGTACATTTAAGATGAACCAAACGCCCGCAAGGTCACACAATGTGTATTCAGTTTTTTGGTTGATTTCGAGAGACTTTTTCAGTTTTTGGTTGACGTCTCTTATATTTTCTAATATTGCAAAGCACTTCTTAAAGTTTAATACGTATACTTTTCATACCCAAAAAATATTTTATTTAGGGATTGTTTGATTGGTTTTCCATTAAGTCCTGTATAACTAAAGTTGTCTGTGTGGATTAATCTATCTCCATAGATTAAGAACGTTTTTGTTTGGGAGGGTTTTTCATAAATGGATTAAGCATGTTTTTTTTTTAATTGGGAATGACATGTTTCGAAGAACATGGCTTCTCTTAAGTCATTATTAAACAGTCATGTATGGTTGACCAAATAAATTGCAAATCTTATTTAAGGATATTACTTAAATAAGCTAAAAGGGTGTGTGTCACACATATATAGAGACCTAATCAAATAAGAACTGGTTTGTATATAGTAATCGTAAGATCCAATGTGAACCAATAGCTTGAGATATTTAAAGATGTTTTTTTAAATAAGCTAAAAGAGTAATATAATAATTCTATTTCTGACAACGAATCAATATATTTAATTAAATTTTTAGAAGGAATATTTAATTAAAATTAGTTACCTAGTATATCAATTACCTAATATACATCGTATTTTTAAGACATTTATGAATCAAAGTGTATCATAGTGATAACGTTCACAATGTTTCACGTGTATCACAATGTATTTTCTTCGTTATGTTCATTGGTTTACATAGGATATCACATTGTGCATCTTGTATGTATATCTGGTATCATAGTGAATATCGTTTGTAGATATCACAGTGTGTACCTTGTGTTCACATAAGGTTCGTCGTAATAAGGTTCGTTGTAATAAGGTTCGCCGAATAAGATTCACCGGAGAGACGAAAGAGGAGAGATGAGAAAGGATATTTATAAAATCTCTAAAATGCCCTTAATTAATATTTGAAGTTAAAATTACCAAAATTATTAATATCATAATTTAACCTCTGATTTGTGATTGAGATTGAATCTTACGGTTATCACAAACTAATCAGTTCTCTTGTGAATGAGCCCCTCTCTCTATATAAATTTACCGCCTTTAGTCGCGTTTTGAAAAAGGTCATGGTTTCGCCGTAACTAGGAAGACTTTAGGCTTGATCTCGCCGTCAAGCTACACCTCACGCCATTTAAAACCTTGTTTAAAACTTATTTTCTAACAAGACATATTGGATTTGTTTGGTTTAATTTAAATTAAAAATACCAAATCCGTAATAGTTGCGGACTGGTGGTTACGGTCCTGGCCTAAAAACGTTGATTTTTTGTTGTTTAGTGGGACTTAGGTATTGCGGACCTAGTGACTTTTAGATAAAATTCGGAAAGAAACAATTAGAAAGTTAATTTGGTTGGTGGAATATAATTATTTGAGTCAATTTTTCGTTGAATTATGGGTTCAATCAAGATTCATATTAATTGAACGATTCATTCATGAATCAAATCATATCAAATCATTAAACGATCCAAACCATTCACATGCCTATTCTCTGGTATAAAGGGGACGGGTCCCATGGTACAACTTAATTTGCTACTCTTTTTTGGATGAGTTAGTCGTTCGATAAGACATATGTCCTTTAAAACCAATTCATTGTTGAGCGTTCGTTTTTCATTTTTTATGCGAACATATTTCGTCTTCGGGGCGTCAAATACATCGGGTTTTAATGCAATAAAAATGTCATCATTATTCTCCGTTGAATCGACTCTTAAAACAGAAAAAACATCATTATTTTCTATTAATATATCGTGAATTCAAACAAATAATTATAACGCTTTTGATTCTATATTGAAATATTGAAACTCATATGTAACATGTGTAATGTGTTAGGGTGTTAACGGTTGAGTTGAAGATATTTGAACAACCCAACCTAATGTTTGTGGTTTGAAAAATCTCAACCTAATCCAACTCAAACCAAAGTGCAACTCAACCCAACCCAAACCGTATGGGTTGGTTGGGTTAGTCGAATTGATACTTTAGTATGTCAAAATATTTTTCTAACATTGAATATGTTGTTTTATCTGCTCATAGTTTTTTTGTAAATTATCAATCATTTGATACAATTTATCCATACTACTTAAATTTTAATTATATCACATTCAATTACTTTTCTCAATTTGCAAATATATGTTTCCATTTACTGAACATATATACGAATGAGTTATATAAAGACAGAGAAGAGATTGAAAATATGTGTATATGAAGAAGATACATGATGGTCTAATTGTCTAATGCACATATTAATAGGGACTTAACAATCATATTAAATTCAAGAAGTAAAAAGATATTTGGTCTATCAAGTTGAGTTGGGTTCAAATGACCAAACCTGATTCCTGTCAAATGCATGCGATTTAAAGATTTTACAACTCAAATAATATCATGTTGCTTTGAATTATATTATTTTTACGTTGGGTTCAATTGATTTGGTCAGGTTTTTAGCACTCCTAAGACGTGTCATCATCTAAAAGCATTACTTCTGTAAATTTGTATATCATATATATAATTATATGTATATATAGTGTATACATATATATTATTCAATAATATAAGATATTAAACATTTTAAGTTCATATAATTGATTTGGTCATGTTTTTTTCATTTGCTTGATGTTTGTAATTTGGTATACTGTTTTTGATTAGTGTTATATTGACAGAAATTTCATTTTAGATATAGATGTCATATTTTTTTAAATTTAAATCCCATAAGAGGCTCAAACCGTTCAGACCAGACTGTCCTTTTATGGTCTAGTTCGACTGGTTTGGTCAGTTGTTGTCAAATCATTCGGTTTGAAAATTTTCTAAGCCATCATTATGATTTGGTTTGTGGTTTAACCGTGCAAACCGGGCTGTAAACGTCCCTATTTTAAAAAAAATAATAAAGAGTTTGTTAAATATGCTCCCATCAAGTAAAACGTAAGCGATGAATAAAAGGTTTTTCAAAATACAATCGATTTTAATTTCGTACTGAAACTTTCAATTTGAAAGCAGATTTGATGTATATATGTTTGATCAAATAACGAAGGACCGTGTGAGAATAAGAGTTAATATGAGGAGTGTAAGAAAACATTTGAACCCTTGATCACTTTTAATCTCAAACCAACCCTTGAATTACGTTTTAGAAGAAAATTGATCCAATGTATCTCATTAGTGTTGATCTTGTGTTTCTCTGTAATTATAATTGGTTTAAGAGTGAAGATCTCTTGTTACTACTTTTTTACCGTAACTTTCATTCTAATTGAAATTCAACGGTTCAACCCCTGATCCAATTGGGCCAAGGTTATGGGCTAATGAAATTGTTACAAACTTTAGCCCAAGAAGAGAAATAGCCCACTTATATATATAGGGTTGGGTTCACGTGAGACCAAAGGTTTTTCGTGAGACCCGTAAGACCAATTCATGTTCATTGATCAACTTTATATGATAACGATCTAATGGTTAAAACTTACAAGGTGGCAATTTTGTAATTATTGAGAAATCTCGTGGCGTTTATAAATGTTCGGATCTGACGGCTGTAAATCTAATCCAAGGGTTGAGAATTGGTCTTACGGGTCTCACGAAAAAGCATTGGTCTCACATGATCCCAAGTCTATATATATATATATATATATATATATATAGTTATTTGTATTATAATTAAAATTGATTTATCATATGAATTTGTTATATTTCAGTTTAGTTTAATAAAATTTTCTGTTTTTTTAATTATTATATAGAGATATTTTATCTTTTTTGTTACAAATGTGGTTAAATTAAAATATAGATGTGTGAATAATGTATAATGTGAAAATACAAAGCTTCGACTATTATATACGAAGTGGTGGATCCAGAATTTTTGTCGAACGGGTGCAAAATTAAGGTGGATCCAAGGCTCGTAAAGTCGTCCAATATGCTTTTAGCCAAATTCCTCCATTTTAAGAGAATTTTTTAAGTTTTTTGATTGATTTCGATGAATCCTTTCAGTTCTGTGATTGATATTCCTTGAATTTTCTAATATAATGGAGCACCCTCAAAGTTTAACGGATATACCTTTCATACAAAATTACTTACGAAAATTGGCTGATCGAATATGTGAAATCCTGTTTGGACCTTAATAGGTCCCGCCCCTAATTCTTGTTTTACCTAAATCATCTTTTGTGTGTGTTTCCCCTCAAATGTTGCAAGAATTAATGCAACCATCGATATGGTAACAAGTTATGTATGTATGTATGTATGCATGTATGTATGTATGTATGTATGTATGTAAAGGATTAGGTTGAAACGAGAATAGAGTCAAAGTAAGAGTACAAACATAATGTTTATATCATCTTTGATGTGATACTAAAAATTACATATCAATAAGAATTGATCAGATACTTGCACAATTTGTTTCATATGTATTTTCTATAATGTGTTTGTAAAACAAAAAGTACAACTTAAAGTTTCATATTATGAACCAAATACATTGTGAAACAAATATATATTAATCAATATTTTAAATTCTAGTTTTAGATGGCAACAACAATATGAAACAATACTTTATGGTAATAATTTTCACAGTTATCACAATATATGAGGTTCTTAATTGATTAAGCTCATATATATGTATGTATATATAGTCGAAAAATCATGTGAGAATAAGAGTTACGATTACTAGTGTAAGAAGAGATTTGGACCATTGATCACTTTTAATCCCAAAACAAAACCCATAAATTGTGTTTTAGAAGGGCATTGATCTAGTTTACCTCATTAGTGTTGATCTAGTGGTTCTTTTCAACACTTTATGTGTATATGTATGTATGTATGTATGTATGTATGTATGTATGTATGTATGTATGTATATATATGGGAATGTTCAAATAAAAACCACCCAATTTGTAAAAACCGTGAAAACCTCATTCA